TTTAAAAGTTTTAAATGATCCTGTCTTTGAGAAGCATTCAGGTTAATTTCCTTGGTATAAGGTAATTTTGTAAACTCATTATTTATTTAAGTTAATCTGTCTGCAAAGATGGGTGTGGGCTGGGGCATGTATTCAAGAGCAGTAAACTGAGTTTATGGTAATATGTACTCAGATTAGAGAGAAGCAGATCTGCTGTGTATACTGCTTCTGCTTGCTTAAACAAGCCCCTTACAAAGGCTGCTGCATGAGAAATTAAAGTCATGGTTTCCCTAGCACAGTTCCAGATCCTTTAAATGTGAGGTGAGACCTCTACAAGAATAAATGGCTCAGGTGTTCCCTGTCTTAGCTGGTGCCTACTGGCCCAAAGCTGCTTTTGTTTAGAGTAACTGTTCAGAAGCTTGCAGCAGCTTCGACATAGCTCTTATCCCCCACAGAAACAACCACCAAATATTTAATTTAAAACTGCCTTGATTCTGTATTTGTGGGCTATCTTCCATGCACTGCTGAAGTTTGGGTCCTAGCAACTTTGAATTTTCACAACTTCTTTCTATCTAACATTTTAGCTTCTGTTTGTGTCTTGATGACCAGCTGCTATTACCACTAGTACAGGGAAGAGGGTGTACAATAGTATCCCACATGAGGCCTCTGATGTGAAGAACTACCTTCCTCTATCACAGACTTACGAACATGTTATACTCTGATTCTTCCCATCTAGTGGTGGCAAGGAGTTATCTTTTAATGCTGAGATCTAAATAGGTAACAGGATGATTTGTTTGGCAAAACTACTGTATGAACAATGCAACTTCTATTAAAAGCCAGCATATGTTACAGCTGTGTGTTTTTATTAGAATTGTGTATTTGACATAAGGGTTTGGGTGTACTATGTTACCATAATTGTTGCTGGGACAGCGAATATTTCAACCTTTCACCATGATAAAGTACTATTTTATTTGTCCTTATGGTCAAAGAGCATCTGCTATGCAGTGTCACTGCAGAAGTCTCATTTATGCACTGATAAAAACACAGCTATTTTCTGAACTTCTATCATGGTGTATGCTTAGGATGTTAGATTGTTGCATGGGCAGAAGAGAAGCCTTGCAGATTAGCTACAGTGTAAAACAGAAGTGCTGACAAAGCCTCACTGGAGATGTTTCCAGGACACTTACTACAAGCAGGGATTGATTACTTACATTGAAGTACACTCAATGCAAGTTGAAGGACGTGCTATTTTCATTTCCACTCCTAATCCCTTGTAGGGTTGGTGTGGCATGCCCTTGCTCTCTCACAACAGATCAGTATTTCAGGTTCTATTTACCTCTACCTTAGCTGAATTCAAGAATTAGAAAATGCTCTCACTGTGTACCATTTACACAGATCATCCATCCTTGCTGTAAAAAAAGCTTTGGAGAGGGCTGGGGCCCTCTGCTGCCTTATCTGGGTCTAGCTGAGGATCTATTCACTACACAGCTGTGTTGTAACACTTCACCTTTCATTGTAAAATCACTGCTTGCCTTTGTAGCTGCAAAGATGTCTACAGCAAGAGTAAAACAGTAGGTCTAAGAGGCCCCCTTCATCTCACTCAAGATGCCATGGGCTCTTTATGCTATAGCTATACTACAGGCCATTCTGCTGCAGACACAAGTATCTACTGTTAGGTATCTCCCTGTTGTGCTGGGTCTGCCGGCAGCTGCCTTTGTCTGCAGTCTTTCCCAACAGAGCGAGCTGATTGGATAACAGCACCTTCTCCCTCTAGGGGCCCATAGATCCAGGAAGCAGGTGGTTAGGGAGCCAGTTAAGCAAAGTGTAGGCTGGTTAGCTGGATTGCCTCACAGTCCCCAAGGCACTGACCTGCTGAGGCTGGCTATACTCTCCGTTCCTGGGCACATGTTGGTGGGGAAAGAGTTTGAGTCAGGCACAACTTCGGAAGAGCAGAGGCTGATGCAGTGAAACTGTGCTACTTGGAGAGAAAAGCAAAATCCACCCTTAAAAATAAATTGTCAAGGAGTATTTTCCACTGAGCCACAGCTGGTGTTGGGGAGATAGAAATGAAGGGTAGTACATGGCTGAGTAAGTTATTACCATGCTATTTAGAGGTTGGTGCTATTAAATTTGGTCCCATTGTTGCATATCATACATGATCCTGCCTGTAGGCCAGGGGCTATCAACCTTTCAAGACTGGTGTACCCCTTTCTGGAGTCTGATTTGTTTTGTATACCTCAAGTTTCACCTCGCTTAAAAGCTACTTGCTTACAAAATCAGACAAATAAGCACACTATTCCTGACAAATTGCTTACTTTCTTTGCCATATAATTATAAAATAAATCAACAACTATAAATATTGTACTTACATTTCAGTGTATAGTTATATAGAACAGTACAAACAAGTCATTACCTGTATGAAATTTTAGTTTGTACTGGCTTCACTAGTGCTTTTTATGTAGGCTGTTGTAAAACTAGGCAAGTATCTAGATAAGTTGATGTAGCCCCTGGAAGACCTCTGCGTACCCCAGGGCTATGCATACTGCTGGTTGAGAACCACTGCCCGCCTAGGCCATTACTATTTGGTGTACAGGTGTCTGGTACTCATACTGTTCATATCACATTGAACTACACTTTCTTTACCCCAAACTGGAAATGTTTAGATGGGAAGAATCAGGCAATCAAAAAATGAAACAAACCGCTTTCTATTATGGAGCCTAAGCTCCAGGTACTAACTGTGAACACAGCGCATTCATGTAGAAGCTTTTCACAGAAGGTAGCCAAAGGACATCATCAGAACACAGGAGAAAGGGAGCATCATCTCCTGTTAGGTCTTGGCCCAGGGCAGAATAGGCTATTTCTGCTGAAGCTCAAGAGTGGCTCTACCCAGGAGGTAGCAGTTACTCACTTTTACAAGTGTGATTGCTGCTTATAGACCTTAGCTTCCCTCACACAGTTTTCCCCATGTCCTCTCCCCCTTCAGTTGTATGCCGTAAGCTGTACATCTTTGCCATCTCTGACTAGGAAGTCCATGAGGGACATAGTTTAATGCTAAGTATTTCTAACAGCCAGTTCAGTCCCAGCTCTGACTAGGGTGTCATAAGTGAAAAGGTGCATTATTGATTACTAACATTTCTGCAGGCAATAAACTGAGTCTTTGCCCAAGAGAGGCCAACAACTGAAACAGCAAAACTGGCTGTGATTGAGAAGGGAGGGTAGGATGAAGAACATGACATTTTCTAGTCAAGATAATGGCATTTCACTGGTGTGCAGAGCAATTCATATTATTTTGTGTTTGTAACACTTAATACCTTTTATACCAAAGGATTTTTATGTAAATATAGCAGACTAACCCCGTCACTACTATTGGAATCCCTCCCGTTCACAGGAGTTGCCATACTTGATAGACCTAGTAGAGGGGTAGCCGTGTTTGGTGCTTTTTACAGATCCAGACTGAGTCCTGTGGCACCTTTAAGACTAAGAGATGTATTGGAGCATCAGCTTTCGTGGGTGAATACCCACTTCATCAGATGCATGTGTCTGATGAAGTGGGTATTCACCCACGAAAGCTTATGCTCCAATACATCTTAGTCTTAAAGGTGCCACAGGACTCTCTGTTGCTTTCGATAGACCTAGGCTCTGAGCTAGTCTAGTATTGTCTCCCCCAGGGTGGCCAGCACTAGATGCTTTACTTCATATCTGCTTAGTGTGACATTTTTACATCTTCCATAATCTGTCCCCCACACTAGCTCTTGATCTCAATGAGTTGCACAATTTGGTTGGATTTCACAGAATGTCCCCTTGTTCCTGTGTTAAGAGGCAGGGAGAACAGAAACTCCCACTCTGCCATCTCTCTAACATTCACTTTTCCATATTTTATATCCCCTCTTATCTCCTTTCTAAGATTAATGATCCCACTCTTTTCAGTCTCTTATGTTTTTCCTGTTTCTCCCCCCAATCATTCTTGGGGCCCTTCTCTCATTTCCCTTTATTTCTGCAATATCCTTTTTGAGATGGAGTGACCAGTACTACACTCAGTATTCCAGATGAGGCTGCACCAGTGATCTATGTTACATGGAAAATAAATTACGTAGAAAGAATGTTAAGGTTGCGGAATCAAGCACTCAAGTTAGGAAATGCCAGAATTAAGATTGACAGTACAACCTTACCTTAGCACCCCATGTCATTGTGCATTCATTAGTCTATAATTACATGATCACATTCCCCCTCTCACCCAAACAGCATTCAGCAGAGGCAGACACCCAGCATGGAACCTGCCAAACTATAGCTGTTTGGGCAAAGATACAAGCAACTGAAGGAATGTGTCAGGCAACCTTAATTATAGGCAGCACTACCTGCTGTGCCTAGAATAATGGTATCCTAATATTTTCTATATTATGCATCCCATTCCTTATGCATCCTAACATGTTTGCTTTTTTTGACCACATCTGTACATGGAACAGAGGTCTTCATGGAGCAGTACACAGTGACAAGCAGGCCCCTTTCCGGACTGCATGCAGCTAAGTTAGAACCAAGCAAGACAGTGATTTATTTTTTTTCCTCTCCGGGGCACATCACTTTGCATTTATCAACACCGAGCTTCATTTGCCCATTCACCTAGCTTGGTTACATCTCTTTGAAGTTCCTCACAGTCCTCCCTGGTCTTGACTAACAGACAACTGTGTCATCTACAAGTTTTACTGCTTCATGGCTCCCCCCACTTTCCTAATCATTAAGAAGATACATTAAAACACTGGACCTAATACAGAGTCTTGGGGCAGCCTGCTGTTAGCCTTTTGCTAGGATGAAAACTGACCATTCAGTCCTACCCTTTTCTGTCTCCTAGTCAGTTTTCAGGAACATAGGCCTCTGACCCAACCATCCCTCCTTATTGCTGAAGATCAGCCTTAGGTCTAATCACTTTTACCGCCATTTGTACAGAAGAAACCATTTCTTCTTGAAAGAAAGACAGTGACGAGCACATAGTGAGGGTGGATGTATCAGCTGTTTATGGTGTCAACCACAGGAACAAATAAAACATTACAGAACCCAAAAGAACTTACTAAAAATGACAAGCTCTGATGATTTGTCATCTCGTGGAACACTACAACTGAATCAATCGTGTCTCCCTCCTCGCCACTCACAAGGAGAGGTTGTCATTCTACCACGTGCCCCCCCTTGTTAACATTTTCACTACCTGCTCTCAGCGGTGAGGATTGCCAGAAGAGAGCTCACATGGACAGTGTTACATAGATGCAGTTCATTTATGGGGAAAAATCATTTTGCAAAGTTTTTGATGCACAAAGAAAAAGTAACGCTGGGCTTTGAATGCAAGTCAGTGTCGCTGTCTGTACACAGAAAAAATGAATAAATGCTTCCAATATATGTGGTGATTCCAATATATATCAGGGTTGTAGTTGCTTTATCTTCAGAGCCAAGCATTCTTCACAGTCCCTCCTCTACAACAAATATACACTTTAGACATGTCAGACACAGAAGCTCAGTCTAAGTTAGCCTAGAGTTCACATACCAATACTGAACTTGAATTAAGTGACCGGTGAGAGCAAGGAAACTGCATGACCAAACTTTATCTTACAAAGGGGTGCCTAGAAGTTCTGCACATTTGTTTTCGGTTACCAAACAGGAAGGCTGGACGCTTCTGCTGGAGTTGTACTGGGATGGGGCATGATCACTGCTAATAGATCCAGATTAGAGGCTCTAAGATTCTAAGGAGGATAATAGGTTAAGCCAGCGGTTCTCCAACTGTGGTCAGGACCCCTAAGTGGGCTGAGACCCCATTTTAATGAGGTCACCGGGGTGGCATTCGACTTTCTGGGGCAAAAGCTGAAGCCTGAGCCTCACCGCCCAAGGGCTTCAACCCTGAGTGGTGGGGTTCAGGTTACAGCCTCTGGGGCTGAAGCTCTTGGGTGTTGGCTTTGTCCCTCCGCCCGAGGTGGTGGGGCTTGGGCAGGCACTGGCTTCAGTCCCCTCTCCTGGGGTCGTGTAGTAATTTTTTCTGTCAGAAGTGGGTCACGGAGCAATGAAGTTTGAGAACCACTGGGTTAAGCTATACTGCAATCCCATGTAAAGGCATCAGGAATGATTGCATCAGATTCCATGAGGGCTACAAGAAAAGCCAGATTGCTTTATTTTTTGCCTCCCCAGATTTACATTGAAATTAACTGCTTAGCATTAATTTTTCTCTGGTACAATCATCAAGTTTTGGAAAATAGCAGGAGGCATTGGTTCATATAAAGGAATTAATCTTGAAGTAGGGGTCCAAGACAAATAAACACACCCATTGCTTTCCCAAGTCCAACTTGACTGATCTTGACAAGACTTCTCTGGTGCTCACATTCCAGGCAGAAAGGGACCCTTCTCCACATTATACCCTGCCATGAGACCAGCTTCCGCACAGCCTTCCACACCTACCTGGGTCTCATAGGAGGAATGTTGCAGCACTGCTGTTAAGCGATGATTCGGTAGCCTGGTGTGCTTGGAGCACTGCAACCGCTTCCTCGATCTCACAAAGCAAAGCACAAGGTGAAGAGAAGTTTAGTTGCTCTGACACCTGGAAGCTTCCTACACAGGTAACAGTCAGGATACTCAAGGCTCCCAACTTGATCTTAGTATAGCTGTCCCTTCCAAGAGGCAAATTAGTTACCAGGGCTCCTGTTTCATCAACATTGCATTTACATTAGATTATTTTTATTTTAAAGTCTGATTCCCCACTGCCTCAAAACCCAGAAGTCACACTCACTCAGACACTAGGTGAGTCCTACTGTAGTCAGTTCCTAGGTCTATGTGGAGTTCTGCCTTCTGTAATAACTTCAGAGGAGTCCCCCAACTATCTCGAGCACGACATGGACAGTCAATGGCAGTTTGGCAGTAGCTATCAGGACATGCATCCCACATGCTCCTGCTGATCTATTCAGCAGACAACAACCCACCTCCCTTTTCATACAGCTCTGCGCAGTTGGGGCACTTTGATGTCTTCTGAAGTGCCTGGTATTGGCCACTGAGACACACTTCTTAAGTAGATGAACCAGCAGTCTGATCCTACCTGATAAACCCCATGTTCCTTTTAAAAAGGGGAAACAGGTGAAAAATATTAATCCTGCCTCCAGCAGCAACAGAATACAGCCAATCCATTCAGGACAGAGGTTTTGATGGGACCCAGTGGCCAAACATACACCAGATATGCAAGAAAAATATGAAAAATTTCACACAGGGCCAGTATTTTACCAGCTCAAAATTCAGAATAAAGGGGTCACTTCTCAGGGTACGCGATCAATCTATCGGGGATCGATTTATCGCGTGTAGTGTAGATGTGATAAATGGATCCCCGCTCACTCTCCCGTCGACTGCTGAACTCCAGCAGTGCGAGAGGCGGAAGCAAAGTCGACGGGGGAGCCGCGGCCATCGATCCCGAGTCGCGAGGACGCGAAGTAAGTGATTTTAATTCGATCTAAGATACGTCAACTTCAGTGTAGACCAGGCCTCAGACTGAACGTGTCAGACAGGATTGGAGTTTGCAGCAGCCTCAGATTTAGCAGATTCATTTTCATGCTATCCAGGCTCCTTTATGGGCTCTCTCTTATGGGAGTGATATTACAGGACTGGAGAAAGCAAAACGTGTAGACCGGATGACCTACAGCTTCTAAAAAGTGCTAAAGGAAATAGCTTACAGCAGAATTTGCCTTCTGAGAGCATGTTGCCAATGACTACAAGCAAAGTCGCCAGGATTTTGTATTATTACAGACTGACTGACTGGCTTTTGACACTTCTTAGCACAATATATAATCAAAGGATCTCTAGGAACTCAGCTCTGTGTGAACAAAACCCTATAAATCTGCTCTTGTGTCACCTTCACTTTATGATCATGGACCTTGGAATCCAAGATTTAAACCAGCAAGAATGGTCTCATTTTCAGGAGAGGAGGCCTGGAGTTACTTCACTTGTTCAGGGAATATGCAAGCCCATGTATACCCCTCTCTATCTGATTTGTTCTATCCCTTTGCTTTCTGTGCTTTGCCAAGTAGCTGCCAGCCAACTGTCCACAAACAGGTTCCAGACACCCTCCAAATAACTGAGAACCAAGTGGTTCCTTTAAGGTTTTACATGTGAACAAAACAGTCGTACTTAAACTATCAGACTAAAATGAATACAATGGAAGCTGCTTCCGTCACGCGTGCTGGGAAATTGGGGGTTTCAGGTGGAAGCATGTCCATATCATACAGCCAAAGCACAGTTTGGAATGGACACACCCACATCGGAGAGATTCCAAACTGGAATAGCAGGGGATGTTTGCAGGACTGAGATGCCATGGCCAAGCTGTGCGGGGGGCGGGACCTAGTACAGCACCAACACATACTCTATCTGGCTGTAGCTAGAGCTGGTATTTCCATAAAGCACTGGATTCACTCAAAATGCCCCAAACATTGAAGGACTGTGTATACTATACAGAGCCTGGCCCCCAAGCCCAGGATGAATTTGACATGGGTTTAGTGAAGGATTAAAAACATAAAAAAAATACGTTGAATAAGACCACCAAACATTCAGACACAACAAGTCTCTGTCTTGGACTTCTGGATATCCCTATGCTATCTTCACTGTGGGACATCTCTTCGAAGCAAGTCACGTACTGCTCCAAGTCTCTTAACTCTCTCCAATCCCTCTGGTCTCAACTCTCCCAGCTTCTGGTTACACCCAGCCAGTATTCCAATCTGACTTTACGAGTCCTCTCATCTCTCCCTACATGCACGTTGACTGTTCTCAAGAAGGCCTAAGAATCCTGGACTTTCCTTATGGGAAAGAATCAGCCAAGCTATCATCCATTCTTGATCACTGAGTATTTTGTCTCTAACAAGAGGGATTTTTTTTAAAAAGTTCTTCAGTTAATTGATTGCCAAACTTCACAGCTTTGTAAAGGCCAGCGTGGCCATTACTCAGAGGGTTCCAAACATTTGTAGCCAGGAACAAACATGGAGTGTGTCCAGGCTACCCTTGATGTGCTAAGTTCCTAGAGCTAATTGGCAATCAGTTAATGAGAGGTACAAAATGCTCCTGTAGAGACACACTGAAAGAACGAATCCTTGATTCTGCTTCTGCTGAAATCCTTATTTCTGCCTCTACTTCTGCAATATCTTCCCAATGTTTCTAGAACTCTGCTCTCTAAACTTCCAGGGCATTCAGAATGCTGCAATCTTTACTGTCTTGACCCAGAAAACTAGGACATTCCCTGCCTCAACTCCCACACCCACTGGCTTCCTAGCCATCTCCAAATGGATTTCAAAATTGGTCTCCTAGCTTCCGGAGAGCTGCTGCACTCTAGCCTGGCCTCTTCTCCTCCCACAGTTCTGGGGAGTGAGAGGAAGGGGTGGCACGGTCACTTGAGCTGCTTATTTATCTGGAGCTGTATCTGCTTTTCATCTCTCTCCCTAAAAACACTGTTGACCCATACCTCCCTGCCCCCATCTTCCCATCCCTGCAGCCCCTCTACACACATACATTTGTTAGCAGCTTTACTATTTGCAGCACCAGATTCTTTCCCTTTGGGACGTGCATTGCATTGGAAACATTCATTCTTTAGAGCGTTGGCTACTTCCTACCTTGGAGTGGAGGGATTCTGGTGATTCCAGCATAAGCAGCAGCTCCGAGTTATCAATCTCCAGCAGCATTCCTGTGATCTTCCCAGCCAAGGAGGCGTGCATGGCATGGATTAGGGGGTAAAGGCGTTCACCTGGTCACAACATCAAGGATAGCCTTACACATTATGGAAAAATCCAAGGCGACTTCAAACCATTTCGATTCAATATCCTCTCTCCAGCCCTATCCCTCCTGAGTCCCAGCTCTGATCTTCTCTCATCAGGGTAGGAGGGGTACAGATCAAGGAGATCACTGTTCACACACCAATGCTTTGCTGCAGCAGTGTTTGCAGGTACCCAGATACCATGTTCCAAGAAAGCTTCCAAGTCCCGCTGGGGGTGCAAATGCACAATCAGGGACATTACCACTAGTTACATCTTTCTTGACATTGAACCATGGTGAGAGAATCTGCTGCTAAGATGAGGGGCCAGGAACAAAGACTTATACCAGGCAGGTGCTGCGCAAGCTTCCCCCACACAGCTCTGCCAATACCCCTCAGTGCTGGGCACCACACACAGCTTTGCCAATGCCCCTCAGTCCCAAGCACAGCCATATGCCTCCCTGCAGCTGTTCCATTCCTGGGCCTCTCTTGAGCAGAGAATACGCCCAGATTGGGACCCGGATGATTTCAAGACTGACAGTGAGCCCGGTGGGTTTAAGAGAAAGCTGAACTCAAAGCCTGCTGAAGTTAAAGGGCTGATGCCCTGACTCACTGTGCCATTCGGCTTCCCAAGAAAAGAGTCCGACATGGCTGCCAGCCAGTCACATTGTGCAAAATGGAGATGGTGCCAACACACAGCTGCTGAGACCTGTTCTACTTGTATGCTGAACGGGGCTGATTCTGGTTCCCAGCCTCTTGCTGCTTGAACAGGAGAAAAACTGAGTGTAGCAGCATCTCCAGCTGTAGCTCTTCAATCCTGCTGTTTCGCACGAGCCCCCATAAATCTGAAAGCCTTGGATTAAAATGCTTCTAGCTATGACAACAGGGTGATGCTTAGGAGACCTCACACGGAAAAAAGTTTGGAGGACTCTGGGTATTAACAAGAGGCACAGTTGCTGCGTCCTTTACAGTCTGTCATTGGGACATGCAGGCCAGAACCAGAGCCAGAGCCAGACTGCTAGAAAGGAACTATGTCCGCTTCTCTATCCTGCAAGAGCTGTGGTCCCATCTGCAAATGGAAGTGGGTTTGGAACAAAGTTACTCAGGTGTCATAGTCACTAATAACTGTGAAGTGCCATCCAGGGCTAAGTAATGTGTGAACAGCAACCAGTTTCACTGGCTCAAGAAAGGCAGCTTTACCTAGGTGCAGAGATACGAACCAATTAGTCGAGTGAGGAGCCCTATGGAGCTCCTCCCCGAAGACTGCGTGGAGCACTTGCACTGACTTTATTGGCAGTGTTTCTGGTTGGCATCCTTTCGTCTGTGAGCGACGGCGGGAATTGGTAATGTTTCTAATGCGCTGAAAACAGGCCAAAAAAAAAAAAAAAAAAGGTTGCAAAGGCCACGTTTTGGTAGGGTCACGACAATAACCTGCGTCGCTAGCATTTCTCCGGTGGAACTAGAATTTAGTAATCAAGAAACACAGCATCGCAGCAGATGGCAGCTCAGGGAGAGCTTCCTGGCCCCCAGGGTTCAGGCCAGCAGGCTTTCAGCATGCATGCTGTAGAGAGAACATGCCAGGGAGCAAGGCTGCTGGCTGAAACTGGATAGCAGCAGCCACCTGTTGCAGCTGGGCTGTACTGAAAGTGCAGCAAGCAGGGAGGAAGGGAGAACAGCACATTGCTGACCCACCGTGAAGGGTACTGGGAGAAGGGCAGTATGGAGAGTATTAAGAGTGTCTATTTCTAAGGGAGCTTGCTTGGAGTACCAGTCTAGTGACGGAGGAATGGTCTCTGCTCAATTCTGTATCTGGATGGCCCAAGTACCTTAGGCAAGTGCTCTACCCATGGAATCGACAGCCAGGCAAGTCTCTCTGTAGCTAAGCTCTTTATAGCCTAACAAAGATCCGGATGCAACGTCTCTGCACAGCTTGGGCTCATGCACCGGCACCAGCTGCTCAGTCAGCGGGAAGTGCCAGACTCCGTGTGAAATTGAACACTTTGGCAGAGCCCGATCGCCTGCTGGAGACAGCCCCTATGAGCTGATTGACAGGCCCCCAAACCTTGACAGCAGCAGTGAAGTGTCTCTTTGAAATTCAGGGGAGCCTGAAACATTGTCACCCGGCAGAGCGGGCAGGATGGAGCTCTCCTTCGTGTTCAGAGCTCACAGGCTTTCCCTTAGCCTGGCCCAGGACGCAGTGACCCATCGCACCCCTCCCACGGGTTATGGAACAAAGAACTACAAGCAAGAGCACCCCACAACAGCCCATATTCAACAAGAGTTTGTCTCCAAGGCAACAGAAACAATCGCACAGGTTGTGGAAATCCCACAAGTGCCACATACGGGGCTAGGATGAAACCTTGGGCTTGTTGACATGCAATGCACACACAGTGCAGCAACACAGCCAGCAACAGCTCCAGTAGGTTACTATCCTCCTTCTACCGGGTGTAAAGGAACAGCTTCACCGGCACCTACCTAGCATTTGCTTCTGCTCCTGAGGAGGAGCTGCAGCGAGCATGGATGCAGTCAGAGGCTCCTGCCCATGAATATGAACAGCAGGTTCTCCAGCCTGAACAAAGTACAAGGGATAGAATCACTCAGAACAGCAGGAAGCAGCATCTGGGTTAATCAAGGCATGCAAGTCATATTTGAGAAGCAAGGATTCAGGGAAGAAGGGCACGGTCTATTGGGAGGGCTTGGTAGTTACAGCCCCTTTTCATCTGGGGATCTCAATGATTAACCTTAACCCCTATGAGGAAGGCAAGTCAGGGCTGGATTAAGGCAATCCATGGCCTAGGCACATCAGGTGGCCTGGTCTCCACCTAAAATGTAGGTTGACCTAACTATGTCACTCAGGGCTGGGAAAAATTTCACAGCAATGGAAAAAACCCCTTCCATCGATGCAGGAGGCTTTATAGCTGTGCCGCTGTAGCATAGACACGGCCCGTGTCCCTGCCCAGAGAGGCAGGGCAGCAGCATGGGGCCCACTTATCAGCCCCTTCACTAGGAGTGGCAACAGAGGCCTGTTCTCCGCACCAAAAGGCAGGAGTGGCAGTGGGGGGAGGTTTGCTTACCCAGCAGCAGTCCGGATGCGTGTGTGGGGGTGAGGGGTTGTGCCTGCTGCCCTCTCCTGCCACACAGCTCTCAGCTGGAGTGGTGCTGGCAGTGCCCCTCAGAGCAGTGGGGTACGCCACTGAAGTGCACTCGGGACTATTCACACCTCTGCGAGCTAGTGTGTAGGGAGCCTAAAGCAATGAGACTTCGCTTGACTCAGGTTTTCAAGCTTTTATTCACAATCATGAGGCTAGAAAGTTAATTTCAGCTTTCATTAAAAAAAATAAAATAAAATAAAAAATAGTGGTATAATCACACAACTCCAGCAGCTGGGTCCCTAAGCAGGAACCTGTAGTGCGTAGGCCTTAATCCAACCCCAAGGCAAGTTACCCCCATTTTGCAGATGAGAAGCCCGAGCTGCGCTGATTGTGAGCTGCCCATGGTCACACACGAATCAATGGCAGAGCCAGAAGTGGCCCCCAAGAGCCTGGAATCCCAGTCCCCTGCCCTCATCACTAGAGCACAGCTCCGTTAAATCGCTGGCTTCCTTCAGGGCCACCCGCACCCAGGGGCTTCCAGACAGCATCTCTCTAAAAGGCACAAGAGACTTGTTTTTAGCATTGCTGAAAGCCATTTGAGGAGTCCCATTTTCAGTACTAGAGGAAGAGCTTCCCCATTCCCACAGAGGAGGAGATACTCAATTCCAGCTTTGCTACCAGCATTAAGAAACAACTCTTCTAAGTGGCAAGGGCCTGGCAGTTTCCAACCAGGCAGATAAAAGAGAGTGGAGTCCGAATACAAAGAAAATCTTTACGCTTCAGAAGGGAGACTAAACTCCATCTCCTCTCCCCTCCCCACACTGGGGACTCCCAGTATCTGGGCTGGCCAGATTTGGCCCAGCTGATGGTCTCCATGGAGAGTGAGGGCTGCACCAACGTATCAAATGGAGCAGACTACAGCACATAGATGAGGCATCCACACAAGGCACTAGACCCAGCATGCAATGCTTTGCATTGATCTGAGTGGTCTGGCTGGTAAAGTCAAGATGCAGCTCTGTATGATTGGGTGCCTGCCTTTCCTATCTACAGGCTGAACAGCCAGATGGCAGTGCTCAGTGGGCAATGCTTTAGCCACCCTGTCCTCTAACAGGACCATGCAAGATAGAGCAACTCCCTAAAGGTTAGGGTTGCCAACTGTCTAATCACACAAACCCAAACACCCCGGCCTTGCCCCTTCCCCGGGGCTCTGCCCATGCCCCGCCCCTTCTCAGAGGCCCGTCCCACTCACTCTATCCCCTGCTTGCTCTCTCCCACCCTCGCTCACTTTCACCTGGCTGGGGCAGAGGGCTGGGGTTCGGGAGAGGGTGTGGGGTGCAAGCTCTGGCCGGGCAGCGCTTACCTTGGACGCCTCCCAGTCGGCAGCACAGCAGGGCTAAGGCAGGCTCCCTGCCTGCCCTGGCCCCGCGCCTCTCCCAGAAAAGGCCGGCACATCCCTGTGGCCCCTGGGGAATGGAGGGGGGTAGGGGTTGCCGCATGCTGCCCCTGCTTGCAGGCACTGCCCCTGCCCCTGCAGCTCCCAATGACCACAGTTCCCGGCCACTGGGAGCTGCAGAGTCGTCGCTCAGGCAGTGCATGGAGACCCCTGCCCACCCTCTGGGGCTGCAGGGATGTGCCAGCTGCTTCCGGGAGCGGTGCGGGGTCAGGGCAGGCAGGAAGCCTGCCTTAGCCTGCTGGACTTTTAGTGGCCTAAAATCTTCTGATTTGGCTTCAGTATCCTCCAGGAGATAGAGCCCGATTCCGGGATACTCCCGGCGAAACCAGGAGGGTTGGCAGCCCTACTAGAGGTGCGAGTCCATCCTTCCTCCACCCCCACCAGAAACTCTTTAGCAGCAGCAGAGTTCTCATCAAATGCAAATGGGAACACCAAAGGCCTTTCAGAACTTGGCCGCCATCTTTGCACTGCAGGGGCTCAGGAAACACAGGCTAGTTTTGAAATGGCCACAGTTCCGCATTCTATTCCGCTTATCCCTCCCTGTGACTCTCTAGCAGATCGCTGGGCCCTGCCCCAGCCTCAGCATCTCTAGGACAAAATCCTGTGAATGGGTTACCTGTTGTACCAGCATAGGTGCCACACTTCCCATCGGCTGGATGTTCCTCACTGCTGAGGAGTACTTATACTGTGGCACACCCCGCAGCAGGGATGGTGAGGTGGGTGCACGGGCACCAAGCGTCTGGGTCCCTATGTTGGCTGGAAGAGACACAGGAACATTAGCAAGGAAGCGACGTGCCAATAAGCGTCTGCACATGCTTTAACTCTACACCTGCCAAGAGCGAGAAAGCAGCATGCCAAGCAGGACAGGCAAAATACGCCCCTCACAACTTGAATGGCACCCACACGTTGCTTTGAAGTTCAAAAAGGCTACGTGCTCTCCTAGCGCAGAGTAATCAATCAGGGGAGTGGCGGGATGTCAACAAATGGACCTGTCTTTTTCATTCCCCACCCACAGATTGATGCCTCTCAGCATCAGCAGCTGAAGGGCAGCACCATGCCCTGGTACCAAGGAGCTTGCCCCAGGACTCCTACTGCGAATGCATCAGCGAGGATGGCACGGTGCTCACTCACAGCAGGAGCCACAGACAGCATGCTGCCATTCGTGCAGGAGCAGGAGGCTGCCCTCCTGTTGCCTGCCTGACTCCGCAAAAGGAAAGTTCGGAAAAAGGACAAAGAAAACTGAGGAGAAACAACAATGGGCCCCTCCAAACCCTCCTCCTCCCTCCTCACCCACCCACCCACATACGTACGTGTGGGCTGTATCCATTTCATATGGATTGTGGGGCCACCAGAACTCCCACTTCACCATTTGGGAGCAGCATTATAGCTTCCTAGTGCACCCTGCTCCAAAAACTCATTGGGGAACCACTTTCATTCCCCTCAGCTACCAGAAGCCCAGAACCCTGCCCAAGAGAATGGACTCAACAAGTGTCTCTGACACCAACTGCTTCACATTGCCTGCTCATTTAAAGAACAGAAAAGACTGAGGGCCAAATACAGGAGCAAGTCTAAGTGCCACAAGGATGAGAGAGAGAATGAATTTAGGCCAGTGCAATTTATTCTCTTGCTTGGCACCTCCAGCCAGTAAATTACATATCTTAGACAACCTCAGGCTTGTACCTCTTACCAACACGCAGCTTGTGCCTCACCCCCTTTACACATCACCTAGAATTTGGCCAACTAAGTCCGAGTGTGAGACTGATCTGGTGTAACTCTCACACTAAGGAGCCAGAAATGCAGAGAGTAGCAAGGAAAGCAACTAAGTCCTACATACACATTACCTCCGAATCTGGCCCTCAGATTCTGCTGTTGAACCTGCTCAACTCTCCACCACCACTTCACTTATGCTAGTGAAAAGTGTCTGACAAGCCACTGAGTCTCTCTTATAGGTATCCTTTGATTTGGATACCTAACACAAGAGACCAAGACAGTCAAACCCCATTCCTGCAGAAGCAAGAGCTGCATGTCAGTAGGTGAGCCCAGAGGGGATGAACTAGATGCAGTCATGGGCAGGCACTCATTGCTCAGAGGAAACCCTGAGAGCAAGAGCTAAATCAAATCTAAAGGCACAAGATAAGCACGGAGCAGTTTCAGACCATTCATCCCTGTCAGTCTCTACTATAAGCACTGGCAATTTCTATTTTACTTGGAATCTGAAAGCCTTTGTTGTTGTTTAACTGGAAACATTAAAAACCACTTCCTTTGTCCAGGGAATCCCTTTAAATCTGTTTTTGCCTGAATGTTAAATCTAGAACTGTGGTCATTACTACTGAACTGCACACGGTGGAACCAATCAGGATGAGGGTCCTTTTGTGCTAGGCACCGACCCGAAGACGACAACATTCCCTGAACTACAAACCCATGCACTACTAGTGCTGTCTGAGGCCTTGTCTACACTACGCATGAAAGTCTTTCTAAGCTACACAATTTGAGTTACGTGACTAGCGTAACTCAAGTCAACGTAGCTTAGATCTACTTACCGCGGGGTCCACACTACTACTCCCCTGACTCTTCTCGATCCGGTGGAGTACAGGAGTCAACGGGAGAGCGATCAGTGGTCGATTTAGCGGGTCTTCACTAGACCCGCTAAATCAACTGTCGATCCTCCAGTAAGTGTAGACAAGCCCTAAGTCCCGTGAGTCCACTGGGGACACAGCACACTACACCATTCTACTGCAAGCTTTTGGGGGTGAATTTTTACCTACACTCCAACTTCAAAGGGAGAGAAGGCAAGATTTTCAAAATCCTCCTTTCCCCCCACCACCATTAATAGGCTCAGTAGAATTCAATTTCTATTTCTTTATTTTTATAATGTTGACAGGTAATATCAATGTTTACTGGGAAAGATTTAAATTTCCACAGGTACGGGAAATTATTTAATGACAGTAGATGCTGAGATTCAAAAAGTTAAGTTTTATAAATTACAAATTGTCAACATCACATGTCAAACTAGACAAAGGGTATGTCTACACCCAGCCGCTAGTTCGGCGGCTGGGAATCGAAGTTCTGGGTTCGACTTATCGCGTCTTGTCTGGACGTGATAAGTCGAACCAGGAAGTGATCGCCGTTGACTGCGGTACTCCAGCTATACGAGAGGAGTACCGCGGCGTCGACGGGGGAGCCTGCCTGCCGCGTGTGGACCGAGGTAAGTTCGAACTAAGGTACTTCGACTTCAGCTACGTTATTCACGTAGCTGAAGTTGCGTACCTTAGTTCGAATTGGGGGGTAAGTGTAGACCAGGCCAAAGTCATTAGCTGGAAATCAAATTCTAATAAGTTCTCAAGCAGCATTTTTCTAATTTTGCCTATCTGCAATTTTGATCATCAGTAGTGGAAATATTTCTGTCAGTCTGTGTGTGTACTGTGAAATCGACATCTATAGAGAAAAATCAAATCCTCCCAAGCCTACCCATGAACAACTGCACAAGCCAACCCTTCCTCCAAAAGGCAGAGAGAGAGAAAGAAACAAGATTGTGGCCAACGCCCTCCTGGACACACATTCACTAGATACTTGTAACCCACTGCCTCCTTGACTTACCCACTCTCTGGGCATGCGGTGGCACTCGGGGCACCTGGGTAGATGCCTGTCTCATGGTGCTGATGTTGGATAGCAGGCGCCTGGGTGGAGCTGCAGCCCTCAGGATTGGGGTAGTCGTGTGGTAGGCAGCTGTAACGATTGAACACATTGTAAATTTCCCGATGGTGAAGACGCGGAAGGAAACGTCTGTGCTGGGACGTGAGCCCGAACAGGCAGTGTTTACCGGTAGGGTGAGAGAACGAAGGGTTTGACACGCAGACAAGAGGGGAGGCCTTTTCTCTTACTCGGTGCAATGCAGGCAGCTTTGCTTCCCAAAAATTATTGCCTGCAGGTGACCCACCAGCCAACCGTTTCCCCCTAGCATGGTTTATGCTGCTTTTAGAGAGCGTTCAGTCCTAAACTACCCCAGCACCAGAAGGAAAAAACCAAAACCACACACCAAGCTGCGCAGAGCAGACACAAAAGCACACTGTCGCTCCCCTCCACCACACACAGACTGCCTGTCACAGGGGGTCAGAGGAGGCACAGCAGATTTAGACTCACTCACAGGGAGGCCTGGAGGGCTGCGCGCTCCACCGAGGGGCAGGACGGACTGGGGCAACTGGGCTAGGACTGTAGAAAGTAGCTCTGGTTTGTGGCTATGAAAGGAGCAGAATACAGAGTCTCTCACTCGCCAGCATGAATCAGTTAGTACAACACTGCAGCAGCAGCGACAGAGACCGTAACTCGGGAACTGCAGACGTGACTGGATGAACGGATCGAAGCAGAGCTCAACAGATCCCTTCATGAAATTGGCAGCAGCATGAGACAAACACTTCCATAAGTGACTGACATGCCTATAGACTCAGGACCCATTAACGCCCGGTCTGGAGGCTAGGGAAATGTTAGTACTCAGGTAAGGAGGCCAGTCAGGGCTAGGATATCCTGAGGGACTGGAGTCATTAGTAACTTCTGGCACAACAATAAAGGGGGAAAGCCCCAGATGGCAAGTCTGGTGAAATCTCTAGAGGGAATAATAGCTCTGGGGTTAAAAGCAGAGATAGGCCTGTGATAATTCAGATATTTAAACACCGAGCGTCTCAGAAATCTCTCTATACTGCCAATCACACCAATGCATTCTAGGCATTTATACCACATGCAGTGCCATGTCCTGAGTGTTTTACAGGCCCATTTCCTGCTGCTTCCCTTCCTGTTGCCTGTACACCTTCCAAGTGTCCCATTCCTCTGCTCCTCCCACTCACCTCTGCACCTTCTATGCCACCCCAACACATCAGCTCACACCCTCTCGTCTAACACACGAGCCCCTTCTCCATGTGCCTTCGCCTGCATCACACTTCTTCTGCGAGGCCTTTCAACCATAATCCACTCGGTATGCCACTCACAGCAAGCTCACTTGAATCTCATTGTCTATACAAAGTGGCCAAGATTTTTTAAAAATGGGTGCCCAACATTATGGATCCGGGTGCCACTTTGGGTACCCAATTACATGGCCTGATTTTCAGAAGTGTTGAGAAGGCAGCATTGTCTGTTCCAGCACTTCTGGGGAACACAAATAAACAAACAGTCCACTCATTTAAGGGTCTACACATGGACGTAGGAGCCAGCTTTAGGCACCCAGTTTTGAAAATTTTGCCTATGGTGTTTACACACTGTACTATGTACACCAGTTAGACTGTAAGCTCTTGGGGGGCACAGACTCTTCGAGGTCGGCAGTGCTGGGCTCGCTGACAGTGCTCAACCAACAACACAAGCACGCAGGGCAGACTGGAGTCAGGTGAAGTGTGGCACATTAGCCCATCTGTCCATTAGGTAAGCGAAGAGATGATCAGGACAGATTCTAATGGTAACCAATTCTGCATCAGCTTGGTGTGTCGTAGGGTGGAAGGACGGATGGGTTGAGTGGGAATTGATAGCTGCTTTCAACTACCTGAAAGGGGGTTCCAAAGAGGATGGATCTAGACTGTTCTCAGTGGCACCAGATGATAGAACAAGTTGCAGTGGGGGAGGTTTAGGTTGGATATTACGAAACTTTTTCACTAGGAGGGTGGTGAAGCACTGGACTGGGTTACCTAGGGAGGTGGTGGAATCTCCTTCCTTAGGAGGTTTTTAAGATCAGGCTTGACAAAGCCCTGGCTGGTATGATTTAGTTGGGAATTGGTCCTGCTTTGAGCAGGGGGTTGGACTAGATGACTTCCTGAGGTCCCTTCCAACCCTGATATTCTATGATTCTATGAGTGCTTAGAACAGAGCAGCACTCAGAATGACACCTGTAGCTCTGACATCCTTAGAATCACAATCTTCGGTTTGTCATCTTTAGGGTCCCAAAACAAGCTATTTGGTTCAATTATTCTCAGTGCTGGAGGAGCTGAGGTGCCAAAGAATCAAATACACCGCCCCTCCCACCCCACCCCCCCAGACAGGTGAGTCTGGCCCTAGGCAAGCTCCTCAGACTCCATATTAGTCTGCTGACGAGCCCCTCCCAGAGGAGTGGACAAGGCCTCACCTGTGGGATGGCAGGCAAGAAGTACCCCGTGGGTGCCTGGAAGGAGCCAAGGAGAGGGCCAGGCAGGGCCCTCATGGTGGCCAGTCTCTGCATATACTGGTTGGTGAGAATCGCTTTTCTTTCCTCCTTTCTTTGAGCGAGGGCAACGTACAAAGGCTTGGTGCTGACGATCCGTCCATTCATTTCCGTCACGGCCTTGGTAGCCTCTTCTGGGGAGGAAAAACATACAAACCCAAACCCTTTGCTGTGTCCACCCTCTGTCATCACCTAAAATTAGATTAGAACACAACAAAGTCCACTGAGTGCCAGGCACTCCATCCGCGTATCACACAAAGCTGTCATCACAGGTGGGGATGTGAGCAGGGAGGGAAACAGTGGACAGCAGCCAGCCTCCAGACTCAGAGGCAACCGACACTGTGGCCTGAGGCTCTAGGGGCTGCGTGGGACTGATTTCTTTCAAGCAAGGTTGGCGGCAGGAGCCCTGGGTGCAGCCATCATACAGTGCAAGTCACATGCAATAATCAAGGGTGATTTTTTCTAATTGTCTATTTCTAGGCACCTATTCCCAGCTGACTTCAAAACACAACAGCTCTAGTAGCAGTCCAGCATGCTGTCACATGTGGGTGAGGCAGGGGACATATCAGAGCTGGATTCCTGACCTGAGTTCCCCGGGCTAGCAGGGGCTGTGAGCACTGCAGAGGCAGCAGATAGTCTCCCACAGCAGCAGGGAGTATTAGTGATTTATTTGCATAATCTGAAAAGCTATAGGCGAAAATGCAAGCCAGTCACAACTCAAGTGCCGGGGACTGAGGCTTACGCAGGTCCAAAGTCTAGGACTTGCTATGTTCAGTACCAGTCCCCCATAAAGCACCGCCACACCGAGATCAGTGACCGTTTAGGATCTAATGCCTTGTGAATTAGACTCCCCATGGTAGCCCAGTTCTCTTACCTTTGCACTAGTAATGGTACCATATGGAGAGAACTCCTTCCTCAGCCGCTCATCATCAATACCATCATCCAGGTTCTTCACATATAAATTCACCCCCTAAGAACAGATAGGGCTATAATTAGATTTCTCCAAAAAAGGACAGCAAGCCTCGCACAATTCAGGATGGCTACAGAAGGCCCACAATAAACGTTCCATTAGGAACTTGTTCTGCTGTGTCTTACTGACATCTTCCCAGAAGACCATATTTCCAACCTACTCTATTAATACAAATCCTCCCTTTTTTCTGGGCATGAAAGAATGTGGCAGATACAGTGAAGCCACTTGCTTGCCGTGGGGGTTTAGGACAACACTGGTTTTACACGCTCCTCACTTGTAGGTGTCGCCTATAAGACACACTCCGGAGGAGTGTGTAACGCAGGGAACTGGGCTGGCTTCTTTAAGGATCCAGTGCCACAAATGCAGATATATGAAATCCCAGCACGCCGGGTAAGCAAGGAGGCTCATTTCTCTGATAGAGATGCTGGCTGCCGTTGGGCTTTTCAACAGCGCTCGCTCAGCAATGGCCATGCCTTTGTATCTGGAATGCTTCCCTTTGAGACTAGGAGACTCAGCAGAGACATCCCATGCTGTTACTCCATCTGGCGACCATGCCAGAGAGCAAACAGGCACATGGCATGAGGCACCTCTATTTCTTTCCCATTACCTGGTATCTGCTCACTCTTTCCTGTTTGATTTGTTCAAATTTACGCTTCAGTTCGCTCTGACGCTCCATCCTCTTCTGAGCTCGGCCAACGTACACCATCCGGCCATTGATCTGCTTCCCGTTCATGTCTGCCACAGCCTGCCAGGAGATGATCCCAAGTCTAAGCACAAAGAGAAGCCACAGCCCCAGAACCCTCCCAGCCCCCCTTTGTGTAGGCTTTATTTCTCCCCATTGCTATCAGAGATCTTTCAAAATAAAAGGTATGAAAGCAGATTTGCTTCCAAGTTTGGATTACAGGGCAGATAAGAGCTTCCCTTTGCATAGGATGACTGCCCAGACAGACTCACTGGCCACCCAAACACACGTTGTTAACAAGAAGCTACAGGAATTGGAAGTCATGGAATCTTTCACACTAACAGATCAGTTAGTTGCATTTCAGCAGCTGGCACCAGTCTGCCCCTGCTCATGAGAATAAAGGCCCAGCCAGGCTTCTAAATGTCACAGACTCAATTAAATATATAAAGCAAAGACCCTCTTGCCTTCTGGGCTTCTTCGTGCTTCTCAAAGTTGACAAACCCAAACCCTTTCGAGCGACCAGTGTCGTCCATCATAACTCTGACACTCAGCGTCTTCCCTGCAAACAGAAGAGTGCAGTGCCCTGAGAACAACCTGGAGCAGAAAGATACTGTCCACCAAGGTCTCTGCTCACAGCTTGAGGAAATCACCCCTGCCCCTCTCCCCCTCCCACATCTCCTGCTTTGGTTAACGATCACAAAGACTTTGTTAGAGGTCAGGCCAGTGCTGAGTGATGTGGGGGCAGTGGCAGCAGCACCCCACGTGTTGGGGTGACTCCAAAAATACACTGGTGCAGAATGGGGGCAATGACAAGAGTCTATTGCAGTGTGGACAGTCCCCTGCCAGCTAAGGCATCCCAACTAACAGGAATGACACAATGCTGGTAGCAGGTAGATACAGGCACCCCAACTCACTAGCTTGGTCTCTCCAAGCCCTCCCCACAAGAACTATACAGCCAGACGAGTCATGACCCAACATATCTACTGGCTGGCACAGCAGACCTGGGTTCTATTCCTGATGCCCAAGGTTACACAGTAAGTCACAAGTTCTGGGGCCTCAGTTTCCTCATCTACAAAACTGAGATAAATATCCCCATCTACCTTACTGCGAGGAATCTAGTCACAGAAACGCAGCCTTTGAGAAGCACAGATGAAAGGCACTACAGAAATGTTAGATTATTTAGTATTTCTCAAGCACCAGCAGTGTGCTCAGGGCTCGGCAACAAACAGACCTTGTTCCAAGAACTTAGGAGACAGTCACAACCCACTAGGAGACCGAGAGGAAAAAAGCAAAAGTTATTCTAAATTCAGACTAGTAATTTAAAGGGATTTAAAAGGACATTTACCTTTCTGTAACTGGATTCCATGCTCTGGCACAGCTTTGAGAAGTTCTACTCACTCACTTGCCTGGGGAGGGCAATTATTTGTGGTTTGTTTTGAAAAGCAAGTAAGCCATCAGTCATCCTCCATCATCATGGTCAAGAGCAGATAATCAATGATTAATTTAATGACAGTTCTGCAAAGCTGCACTAGATGACTGCAGTCATTTGGAATGACTGGCGAGGTCCTCAGCTGGATTTGTTCTTGGATAAGTGTTACCACTAAAACTATTACACCTCTACCCCGATAATAACGCGACCCGATATAACACGAATTCGGATACAACGCAGTAAAGCAGCGCTCCGGTGGGGCGAGGCTGCGCACTCCGGCAGATCAAAGCAAGTTCGATATAACGTGGTTTCACCTATAACGCAGTAAGATTTTTTTGGCTCCCAAGGACAGGGTTATATCAGGGTAGAGGTGTATATAAATAAGAGAAGAGGTCTAACTCCTCACTTAGGCTCTTTCCCTTGTACATACTCCTTGGTCCCACTGCCTCCAATTCACCATCCACTGTGCAGATTTTGCTATAGAAATGCTACTCACCAAACTTGGAGAATATTTCCCGCAGTCGGTCATCATCCATATCATCCCCAAAGTTCTTGATAAAGACATTGGTGAATTCCATCGCCCGTGCCCCAAATTCTGCCTCCCGCTCTCTGCGGGATTTAAAATGGCCGACAAAGCTGCAGAAAGTAAACGGAGGCACATGAATCCTCACCATACATCCATTGGGCAGGGGAAAAAGACATGGGAGCCCACTGGTCAGTGGAGTCCCTCCTAATGGTGACTGTCGCTTTAGTACTAGTAACAACTGTGTATTTTTGCATCTCAGCAACCTGAGCAGATCTGACCTGCACACTCCCCCTATCCCCACAAACGCTGGCTATTGTTACGTAACATTAATGCTGCAGTAGCATCCAGAGGCCCTAGTCAGTACAGGACCCCCCTTTGCTGGGGGCTGTACAGACACAGAACAACAGATGGTCTCTGCTCCAATCTAAGAGCCATCCCATACCAGACATTGCTAAGGGGATCTCACCGGATCAAGCAGATCCTAAAGGAATTCAATTATTTGCCCTCTCTCCCTCCTAGATGGTGTACGGTCTGCCCGTCCTCCCTGCAGCGCCAGCTCCACCCTCAGTGGATCCCTGCCCTTGCATCCCACCTGGGCAGTAGTGGCAATACACAGGCAGCGATCTAGAGCTCACTAGATCCAAGAACGCTGAGGTCTTTCACAGAAGGGGAGGGGAAGGGAGGACTGGAGAAGCCTAAATCCTCTTTCCTCCACGTTATCTTAAACTGAATTCTTAGGGAGTCAGGGACCAGTACAGAGCTATGGACATCTGCGGTGCTGCATCACCAACACGATGTACGCCTGCTCTTGCCTGGACAAGGGATTTGTTCCCTCTGTGCCAGCAGTTCTCAGCCTCCATACTGCAACCCTACCAGGATCAACAGCATCACGCCAAAGCCCAGTGAAAAAAGGGCAGAAACAGCATAGGCCCTAACAGGGAACATGTTTGCCCACTGAGCAATGCTGATTGTGCAACACCACACTGAGCAAATACCGATAACCAAGAGTTTAGTTACTATACAAAGGCCACATTCAGAGAGGGCTATTGAAGGGAGAAGCAGCACAAAATGAGGATCCCCCCCGTCCCCACTTACACCTTGCGGTCATTGAGCAGCATCCCGTTCATGGTGTCAATGGCCCGATTCGCCGCCTCATGAGTCTCAAAGTGAACGAAGCCATAACCGCGGGATCCGTTCTCATCACAAACCACCTGCCAAGAGAGAGGCAGAGTCAGACACGGAAGAGCCCTGAAAAAACAGAAGGCAGACCTCCCCACGCCCCACCTGGGGAGACCTCCCTAGCAGCCACCCACGCCAAATCCAAGTCCCATCGCCAAGGAACATTCAGCCTCACTGGCATCTGCTTTTCACCAAGCTACAATACCTAGAGCCCCATGCTCATGACACACTGTCCCGTGGGGGGATAAGAGTACAGGTCACAAGCTCAGCTCCCAGGGTTGACAGAAGCTGGAAACACCATTGAGAAAACATGCTGAGCCCCTGAGATAGGAAGTGGTCTGCACTGCTCTCAGGGGATCCCTTCTAGCTGAGTCAGAGTGCATCAGCTCTGAAGCGAGTTGCATCCAGCCTCCTTTGCCAGCGGAAATAAGGTAGCAGCGCTCCTCCCCAAAAACCCTTTAAGTCTCCTATTCACGTAATGGGTGAAAATGTAAAGAAAACCATACAAAGCAATGCAAAGAGAATTCAGATCTCAACCGGTTTGACAACCCTGGTGGTAAAGTGCAGGCAAGTCCTAGGATAAATCTTGTTCTTGCAGCAAAAACATACGTACCTTGCAAGAAAGGATATTCCCAAAGGCTGAGAACGTATCGTACAAGGCTTTGTTGTCAATGGAGTCATCCAGATTCTTGATAAAGACATTCCCAACCCCTGATTTCCTGAGGCCAGGGTCTCGCTGGGACCACATGATTCGAATGGGCCGACCTTTGATCACTTCAAAATTCATGGTGTCCAAAGCCCTCTCAGCTGGCAGGAAACATGCACATTTATTATGAACAAGTGAAGACAATTACAAGGAGAGAAGAATTGTGACATGGCCTGATATTCCACCTACTGTAACACTGGCTGTCTGCACAATCAGATTGTTACAAGGAGCAGGGAAGTGTTATTTCCTAGCCTCATTGTTGGGAAAAAGACCCCATTAAATCACAACTAGAGAGGCAGCCTAGGAGCTATCTTGCAAGCCAGGTTCCAAGCCACAGTAGACACACCAGACAGTCCTCTAGTAACATGTACAACGGAGGAGTCAGGCGATGGGCTCTGTTCATGTAGCCACCCAAAGCTCATCATCTACAAGAATCAGAGGATTTCAGTCTTCAGTGCTACTGACCTGGCACCCTTCACCAGCTGTAACCTCATTCCAAAAATCAAAGGTGTCTTAGAAGTTTTGCCATTTACTTCAGAATCATCTTAGTTAAAATGAGAACAAATCCCTGCCTAGCAGTTCTGATGCTAGAAAATGAGAGTCCCGTACAGTTTATCACTGTCATCATGAACACACACACATGGCAATACCGCTTTCCCCTGCTCTGCTCTCAGAGGAGGACAATCAAGTCAAATGTACCTTTGAACGCTTGGAGGAAGGTTATTCATGCATGTTGACTTTTTCACCTGGGTAGAAAACTCAACTGTAGGGTCCCTGGTGTCTCCCCTCCCACCCTCTATCTAGGCACACACATGTGATTAGACACTCAGATACCACACTGACGGGCACCACATAAGAACCTAGCACAGATTTAGACTAGAACCAAGTGAAAACAAAGCATTAAGTCAGTATTTATTTTGAACCTGGTAGCCTTAACATGACCCATGTAATCAGCCCTCACACCCCATCCCAAACCACAGATTTAAAAGACAACTTTCCAGAGGTTACGTTTTATCAGGCTTACCATCAGCAGGTTGCTGAAAATTTATGTAGGCATAACCGAGCGATCGACGTGTGGCAACATCCCGACAAACTCTGATGGACATGATCGGTCCAGCAGGTGAGAACTTCTCATACAGCATGGCTTCGGTCACATCTGGGTGAAGATCTCCAACATACAAAGAAGCTAATGGATATCCAGGGCCACTAGCGTTCATGGTCGACCACAAAGCTTAACTTTAAAGTGAAGCAAGACCTAGTTACTTACTGTGGCACAGAAAATATTTTTGTGCCAAGATAATAGAATATGGACTTTGGTCACATGCAGCAACCACCAATTAAAGTCTCATCCCAAACCCTCGGTTGCCTAGAAAGAAGTTGGCTGCAGTGCAGAGAATAGAATCCAGAATCCATAAGTTCCCTCTAGTAACACATCAGGACTGAACTACCCTCCAGGTATACCACAGACCCAGTATTTTCAATAAGGCTTTGCTCTCACTTATATTGATAATGTAAAGCTTGAATGGTTTATGTATATTACCAGAACCCTGTTCCCCAGCTCGAGCAAGCTATACAGACAATAGGATACTCAGCTGGGGTGTTGTTCATTATTTTAAGAGACGCCAAATGGAATTTCATCCCACGGTAAGCAAAACAACCCAATGGATTTGTATTATAATCCCTTATACTGTATTAGTTTTCTTCCCCTGTTCTTCAGGCAGAAAAGCAAATCCAAGGACCATGGAGGGCATTTTCTGTAATAGACGTTTCCTATGAAGGTGTTACCGTTCGTAGTATGACATCATAGTTTTCAGTATCACTGTATATTGTACTGTTCCAGGGTGACATCACACTGCAAGATTCAATGTTGCTGAAGCAGAGTGCACTGGGAGCCATTGTGTATGTTTTGTCATAGATCTAGAAGGATATAGGACAGACATACATGCTGTAGAAGTTGGAGGCTGGCAAATGGTCTCTTAAGGAAAGGCTAAATAGTTGGGGGGGGGAGAATTTGTGGGAGTAGGGTAAAGTGGCAGAGCCTGTACAACCTTGGGCAAGTCACTCACTGTACTTCCCCTGCTATACAACAGAGATGACGCTAATAGTCCCCCGTCCCCACCCAGAGGGATCCTTAAGGGAAGGATAGTGGCCACAGATATCCTAGCAATCCCTGACAACCCAGCCCCTCACTTCAGAGGACTGAGGCCCAAACAAAACTATTCCATGTACCACTCGAACACTAGCAAAAATGAAACAAAGGCTTTCAGGCAGAATATCAAAGAAAAATAATGGACTGAAATAAATGGCTGATGATGAGGCACCAGCCAGTGTAACCAATGTTTCTAGGCATGGTACAACCACCATTTGTTCTGGTACCATGGACCAATGCAGTGAGAACGAGATGCCAGGAGAGGTTATCAGGTCCAAGAATCACTGCACCTCCAACCCACCACATGACCTACTCTTATCAAGAATCCTGGAATCGGATGTCTGGGGGGGGTATGTCTTCAATTGCACAGTTAACCTGGGCTCTTATGCAGGTTTTAACCTTCACCCCTTACCAGATACACAGAAAAACTTCTAACATGGGTTTTCAATGTCTTAAGCCCAGGCTAGCTCTGCTTTAACTCTGGCTGGAACACATCTACTTTGCAGTGAGGATGCAGACCCCCACCCCCACCCCCACCACCCACAAATCACTGGAATGCTGATAATCCTCCAAACCCCTTCTCACAGTTCTCCCCGAAGAACAGACAAGTTCTCCTGCAATTGGCAACTGACTGGGAAAGAATCATAGAGCATCTCAGCACAAAGAACCACTGGATATATCCCCAGACACACACAGACAAGTGCAGAAACAGTGAGGATGCAGTAATGCGGCTAGGGCTTTGCAGTGGGGATGCTCATTCCTGGGCTAGGCTAACCCAGGCACTGCTCACCTGAGTTGAACTGTGCAGTGAAGTCATACCTCTAGAGCAGGGGTAGTCAGTAGGTGGACCATGGGCCAAATCCAGACCGTCAGACGCTTTTGAGCAGACTGTGAAATCTTTTTATTTACTTCTTATCATTGTTATTTTTTTGTATTATTTTCTCTGAAGTCTGGATCTTGACTATACACTGATCAAGAAATTTGGACCTTGATAAAAAAAATAACTGATTACCCCTGCTCTAGAGGTAAACCAAGTGCTAGGGGCAGAATTTTCTTGGTAGCACTTCCAGGCCCCTAGGATTCACTCCCTGCAGAAGTACTAACCTAGCCACTTCCAGAGCTGCAAGATAAGGCCTTTGCCCAAGTCTTCCCAACTGATTAAATCCTGACTGGCTGGTAAAGATGCAAGCAGCCGGGAAGAGTCCTGTTGGTTTCTCTCACTGAGATTTTTCAGGTCTCAACTTAAATGTTACAAGGCTCCTTAGACAACACAGTGATGGGTGCCAAATCAGTGTTTGAAATAAATAGATATATAGTACAGCACATGATTATTGTATGTTAAATACTTAAAAGTCATCTACCAGCTTTGAGTCACAGCCAAATGCTGATCTCTGGAGAAGTTTGCATCAGCTCCCAAACTCAGTGCCCCGGTGTGACATACCAAGAGATTCTAACTTCTGAAGTAACTGAAAAGCACCTCCCATGGCCCTCATGCAAATATGTTCACCCCCACAAGCACAGGCTTAGGAAGGAGGTGTTAACAACCCTCTACAGCTGGTGAGAAGGCTGCTGTTTTGTAAGGCCTTTAGCCACCACATTTGGGCCAATGGCAGAAGCTTCTTCATCTGCATGGACAAATCTGGATAAAGCTGGAAACGTGGCATAAGCAAGACTACTAAAACAAATAAATCAATACACTGGGAAGGGGGGGGGGGAAGAAAAACTAGGCAATGAGAGAGCAAGCTGCCTTTTCAAATCCATCCCATTTTGCCTGAGGATGCTAGTTTTGAGCCATGAAAAGTCATAGTCAAATGTCATCTTGGCTTACGTGTGCAACCTGCAGTAAAAGTGCAGCCCATCAACAACTAAGCTAAAGATGGTGGAGATGGGGTTTCCACTCCAGCAAATAACGGAGACCGCATCAAGACCACCCTGAAAGCTCAGGCAATCAGGAAAAAAACTTCAACGGGGAATAGAATAAAACTCAGCCCATGGTATCAGTCAGGTCACAGCAGAAAGAAACCTGGTCCCCAGGTGTTCAGAAATGGCCTTTAGTCCATAGTAAAAGAGAGTAGTCTGAGACTAGAACATGTAAGAATTTTGGAATCCTAGTCTCCAGAAATGGTCCCAGCCCTCACTGCCCCAGGAAGTTGAAGTTCACTCTGGCCTTGCCTATCCACTGACCACTGTAAGTCCCTGGTTGTCCTCTTCCCTCAACTGCCAGTAAGAGACAAATCTTGGAAATATGGTTCTGTCTCTTCTAGCAGGGAGGCAAAAGGAATTTCCCCAGCACTTCTCTGGTTCTTTTGATCTGTGAATCTCAAAGCACTTTATAAACATTAGTTAAGTCTCACAACACCCTTCTGTGGTAGGGAAGTATTATCACTTGAGGAAAACCTCAGGGAAATGACATGCCACAGAGCAAGTCAGTGGCATAACTGGGAATAGGACCCTTAAGTGCTAATTTCTAGTGCTAATGTTCCAACCACTGAACACTTCCTCTCCGGTGGAGAAACGCCTAACATAAATTGCACTCTCCCTGAAGAGAGAAACACAAAGAGTGAGTCACCAAGGGAAGAGTTCAAAGCCACATTAGCAACTCTGGAGCCTTTCCAGTAGAGAATTGAGCAGAGCCCAGCCAAGGAGCAGTGTGTAGAGGGAAGAATCTAACCCCGAGTGTTCTGCAAAGCTAGGATTTACTTCTGTAAAATGGTCTGCATTGCACTCTCATTCCATGTCTGCCCAGCAAAGGAGATTCGTAGGACTGGGGTTCCCAAAGCCAGTTTGCATAAGTTCTCAACATCAAGGGCCCATCCAAGCCATTTGTGTTCTCTCTCCCTCAAATCCACTCATTCTTGCAGGAGACTGGCCACTAGCTTTGTGGTTTCATAGCTTAGATACCTGAGTTTATATGTGCCTAGACAACCTCCACTTTGGAGAGAGGGATATCTACCATCTCCGTGTACACTCAAGTCTTCATTTACTTTAATGTTTGTACCATTTTCTTTAGTGTGACTTCTTTCCAAGGGATTTTCTCCTTTCTGAAGAATCTGCATGCAAACAGATCTCAATGGAAACTTCATCACATTTGATTGTTGATGTGTTGGAGATTTTGGGTTTTCAATATTATAAAGTGAGTTTAAATTTCACTGCTCAAGGGGAAGTCCAAGGAGTTAGAAAATGATGTTGAACCTGGTGTTCTATGATAATACAACCTTGCAAAGACCCTTTCCTCAATACACCAACCCACCACAGGACCCATAAGCATCGCAGGATCTGCATGCTTTCAGGTTCAAACTTTACACCATGTGCCTTCAGTGGAATCACACGAGGTATGAATCATCATAGTATGTGGCCCACAGTACTTAAAAGGGGAGACTGTCCAAGTCACAAAGGGCAGATACACAACTTCCATTGACTTTCAGTCACAACAGTGCCAAACTTCCATTTGTGCCTTTGAAAACTTTCCCCTCAAATCCTGTGTTAATTTCAAGGTTTTATTATTTAATACTTGTGACCCAACAGAATTGTCAAGGTGTGTTTCTGATCGCTCAGTAGAGTCAAAAGCCGTTAGCTTGACTGAGAAAAAAATCTCAGATCCCAGGGAAGCAGTAGGGGCTTTTACTAACTTGGTTCCCCACCTGCAGAATTTGCTTTCCATTTCTGTGCTGCTCATTCCGTTAGTCTAACTCAGCATTTATACCAATTACATCTCCATTTGCTGTTGCTCTCAAAAGCTGGTGAGATTCTGATGCATTTAAATGAGTTTTTCTACCAAGTGACTTTTCTGGGTAAGGCACAGCAGTAAAACATTTTGGTGTTTGGTAAAAGCCTCTTTTAGGAGGGGACTGGGAGGGATACCCCATTGCTTCTGCTGAAAATGCACCACCCACTCCATCAGGTGGGCTGGTTTCAGCATCCATTGAACCATGCCTGGAATCAATTCCTCCACCTGCCCCCAAAGCCCCCACCCCCTTTCATAGCGCGACGGCCCTGGTCGCCAGCATTTAAGAACTATCCCCAGCCCTAGGGAGTGTGCGTGAGGGTGGGGGTATTCTGTAGCTTTGTAACAACGGAATCAAGGGGAGGCAGGGGGCTGGAAGCTCTCATCAGACCCCCCCCCCCCCCCCTCCCCGAACCGCAGGAGCCCTCTGGGGCAGCGGAGCGGGCTGACCCCCGACCAGCCAGGAGCCCTGGCACACCCCGGAACCGCAGCCCCACCCGCTCGCTGCCTGCTTCGCCCACGCACCCAGCCCGCGGCACAGCCCTGCCCACCGCCCCGGGCACGCAGGGCTGGGCGGACGCTGAGCGGAGACGGGAGCCGGTGCAGCGGGGCTCACCCCCCCGGGCTATGGGGCACCCTCCTCCCGCCGGGGCGCCCACACTCACACGTGGCCGTCACGCTCTCAGACCCAGCCGCTCCGGTGCAGGCGGCGGCTGCCAGAGGCGAGCGAAGCTCTCAGGGCTCCCCGGGCCCCGCCCCTTCCCCTTGCCGGGCAGGCGGGGCCGGCGGCCACTCCCCCACCTGGCAGCGCAGCCAGCTGCAAATGGCACGTGGTGGTGGGCCCGGGGGCTCCAGTGCCCTCTCGCTCTGCGTCCTCCCTGCCAGCTCATTGGCCCTCCTCGGCCCAGGGCCAGGCTAAACCCTGGGCTGTGCCAGCCACCCCCTTCCCATTCAGCTGCTGCGCACGCTCTAACCCACCCCTAGCTCCGGCTAGTCCTCCAATCCTAGTCTGGCCGGGCCAAGCCCCAGGCTGGTTTAAAGCACTTGGAGCAGAAGCGGAGGGGTGCTCGGAGAACCGCCTGGTTGGGAACCAGTGTTCAGGAGGGCTTCTGATACAGTACCATGGTGACAGGCATCGTATATGGCCACAATCGGAGAAGGGTAGTCTTGTTAAGGAAGAGGTTGGGTTCTGCTTCCTCCACTACCCCAGGAATCCTGCCTGATCTTGGGAAAGGCAGTGAAGAAGAGATCTGTGTAAGCTCAAAGGCTTGTCTCTCTCCCCAACAGAAGCTGGTCTAATCAAAGATGTTATCTCACCCACCTTGCCCTTAGGAAAGTCACCTCTCCCTGGGGTCGTTTGGCTCCCCATCTGTAAAACAGGGACTGTACTGCTCTTCTGTCTTACTGAGGTGTGATGGGGCATTTAGATACTATAGTGATAGGAGTCAAAGAGAAATATAGAGGGAGATAGAACTAAAACAGAGTAAGGTAGGTACCCGGTTGATCTTTTCTCAGTAGCCGTTCAGCATTTCTGTCGGTCGAATGTAGTTTACATACTGAGGAGCAGGAGGTGTGTGAAAATGTACAACTGAACCACAGGGATTGAATTTGTTCCAGCAGAGCCTTAAGTGTGCCATTCACATTGAACCATCAACTCTACTATGGGAACCAGCTCCTTTGTACCCAAGTTTATCAGAAGGCCACTGGATGACTAATGATATTTTGAGAAATCAAACAAGGCAGGGCAGAAAATCCACATTTAAATACCACACCTTTATGAAAGATACCAAAACACTCTGATTGAAATGAATGGGAGCAGTAGGGGCTCAAAATCACAGTTTGGGTTACATGGGTTCTCCACCGTTCTGAAAATCAGGCCCTGTATTTATCTGAGATCATGAAGAAAAGGGGCCAAACTGTGCCAAAAATAAGAATATGTGAATGACAATCCCTGCATCTGAGGAAAGAACACACAGTCTTAATTGTCACCGAAAAGGCATATGGAGAACTGTAGGTTTATTAATACTAGTATTTATTCCCTTAGATTGTAAACTCTTGAGGGCAGAAACTGTCTTTGTTCTAGGCTTGGGCAGCACTTAGCACAATGAGGTCCTGATCCACAGATGGGGCTCCTAGCCCCTACCACAATACAATAAATAATAGTAACGCAAAAACTGAAAATCCTAGAATTTACTTCCCCAGGAGTTCACCTTAGATTCAAGGATATTGTTCTTTAGCTCCAGCCATCTGCCATGCTGCTGTGGGGAGAGGAGACTCCCATTAACTGGAAAAACTGCAAGAACATGGATGGGATGAGTGACGTTTGACAGGATTTTATTTCAGGTGACTTTTTAAAATGATGTATTTCCTTCAGCCATCCTGCCTTGGCCTCTGACACTAGCGGAGCTCATAAGCAAAGAAGGTTTAGGCCTACTGAGTACATGACAAGAAAACCAAGGAAAGCCCACATGCTGCAAGAGGAGCTGGAGATTTAAAGTGGCGTTCTTCCCCTCTTCAGTCATATACCAATAGAGATCCAACATGGTTTTAGTGAGCTGTACATTACCTTTTTTAGGTGACACACAAAACTCCTTAGCATTTGGAATTAGATCCTATGGACTTTCTGTAAAGAGTACAGGTGGATTAAAGGCCGCAAGCTGGTTCTAGCCCAAAGTGGGTAATCATGTTCTACCTACTTAAATACAATTGCACCTATATTAATGGTTGGAAAAGTTATTCTTCCCTTCCTAAAAGAAAAGCTGAGACGGGGTGCTGCTGCAGAATGACTGCTGCAGTCCACCCAGGCCCTAGTCACATTGCAGTAATGATAGCAGTAACTAAACCAGTGGTTAGGGGTCTAGTACAGGAGTGGATGGGTAAGATTCTGTGGCCTGCAACGTGCAGGAGGTCAGACTAGATGATCATGATGGTCCCTTCTGACCTTAAATTCTATAAGACTATGAGAGTGCTCAATACTTGTGGCCAATCTACAATATTTAATTAAAACTCCTCAAATGCATTTTCTGTAAAAACAGCCACTAAAAATCCAGAGAGGCGGTAGTTAAATCAAGATACAAAACCCTTAACTCACACCTTATCACCTAAATCCAGTGACACCTCTGCTCCATAACAAACTCCCTTTCAGGCAACTAGCCAGCATGTGAAGAAGTAGATATGTGCAATCTCACGCTACATAACCTGAGCTCTGTGTCTAACCTCATAATTTTTCCATGTGTAAATACATTATAGACTTTAGCCCTACTTTTATGCCTATAGGTAATACATCTTAATCCAGCACTGAGGTCAAAATTCATCTTGTGCATTTGAGCTTGGCAGTGAGGAACTGGATGTGTGCATTGTGGTTGGTAATATTCTAACTTTGAACAGGAGTCTGCTGTGAAGTTGGGGAGTCTTTGGGTTTTATGTCTGAGTGATAAGGTGCATAAATTAACAATGGCATTAATATTAACGACAGCTTATCTGGCAACTTCCCAGAATGTTAATTGCAATTGACACTGCAGAAATCTTTAGCAGCACTACAGAGAATGCTTGAAGTGCCAGTCTCTTGGCACAAAGATGCCATTCCTCACAGCAATGCTGCCTCTGCTCTCTCAGTTCACAAGAGGAATGAGCGAAAGCAGGCAGGAGAGGGAGGGATGACAGTGGAGCATTAGCATTTGCCTACATTCTCAACCTAACAGATCTGCATGTGCTCAACAAGAATATTTCCTGTGCTGTGAGCCGTAGCAGCAGAAAAATTGGATTCTCCTTCAACACAGCCCAGTGCCTCACAACACCATCACTACTATTTGAGCACTGCACTCAGACCATAGCCTGGCCTGGTGTATGAGGACCACAGGATCAGTGGGGCTATATAACAGGAGAGCCCTCCTGCTATGGCTTAGCACCCAGGGATTTCCCTTTCCAAACAAGCCCTTGCAGGTATATGGGCTTAAAGTAAGGAAAATAATAATCACCCCTCTTTTCTCTTCCCATACTTTACCTTCCTGTCCCCCCACATACCTGTTCACTTCCCCATTGCCTCTGCTGACAAGCCTGCCTCCTAGGTTCCCAGGGGCAAGGATGGGAAGGTGTCATTCCTGAGGCAGGCTGATCAGCACCAGCAAACAGCAGTAGCTGGCACTATAAAGCTCTGCGATCTACTTAAAAAAAAAAAAAAACCCAGCTCCATTATCAGGGTCAGAGGTCGGAAGTGTACAGTATAAATGCTGTAACAAGAGTTGGGGATTTAAATCCAGATGTGTCTACAAAGGGTGGAGAAACTGGCAAAATAGCGGATAGCTATTAGGGCTGTCGATTAATCGCAGTTAACTCACACGATTAACTAAAAAAAAGTCATCGCAATTAATCACGGTTTTAATCACACAGTTAAACAATAGAATACCAATTTAAATTTACTAAATATTTTTGGATGTTTTTCTACGTTTTCAAATATATCAATTTCAATTACAACACAGAATACAACGTCTAAAGTGATCACTTATTTTTTGTTACAAATATTTACACTGTAAAAATAATAGTATTTTTCAATTCACCTTATACAAGTATTGTAGTGTGAGCTTTTTATGATGAAAGTACAATTTATAAATGTAGATTTTTTGTTACATAACTGCACTCAAAAACAAAACAATGTAAAACTTTAGAGCCTACAAGTCCACTCAGTCCTACTTCTTGTTCAGCCAATCGCTAAGACCAACAAGTTTGTTTACCTTTATGGGAGATAATGCTGCCCACTTCTTAATTACAATGTCACCTGAAAGTGAGAACAGGCATTCGCATGGCACTCTTGTAGCCGGTGTCGCAAACTATTTACATGCCAGATGCGCTAAACATTCATATGCCTCTTCATGCTTCGGCCATCATTCCAGAGGACGTTTCCATGCTGATGACGCTCGTTAAAAAATAATGGGTTAATTAAATTTGTGACTGAACTCCTTGGGGGAGAATTGTATGTCTCCTGCTCTGTTTTACCTGCATTCTGCCATATATTTCATATTATAGCAGTCTCGGATGATGACTCAGCTCATGCTGTTCATTTTAAGAACACTTTTACTGCAGATTTGACAAAACACAAAGAAGGTACCAATGTGAAATTTCTAAAGATAGCTACAGCACTCGACTCAAGGTTTAAGAATCTGAAGTGCCTTCCAAAATCTGAGAGGGACGAGGTGTAGAGAATCCTTTCAGAAGTTTTAAGAGCGTGACACACTGATGCGGAAACTACAGAACTCAAACCACCAAAAAAGAAAATCAACCTTCTGCTGGTGGCATCTGACTCAGATAATGAAAATGAACAGGCGTCGGTCTGCACTGCTTTGGATTGTTATCGAGTAGAACCCATCATCAGCATGGACACATGTCCTCTGGAATGGTGGTTGAAGCATGAAAGGACATATGAATCTTTAGCGCATCTGGCACGTAAATATCTTGCAATACCAGCTACAACAGTGCCATGCAAACGCTTGTTCTCACTTTCAGGTGACATTGTAAACAAGAAGCGGGCAGCATTATCTTCTGCAAATGTAAACAAGCTTGTTTGAGTGATTGGCTGAACAAGAAGGAGGACAGATTAGACTGGTAGGATCTAAAGTTTTACATTGTTTTGTTTTTGAATGCAGATTTTTTGTACATAATTCTACATTTGTAAGTTGCACTTTCATGATAAAGAGATTGCACTACAGACCTTATATTAGGTGAATTAAAAATACTATTTTTTTTACAGTGCAAATATTTGTAATCAAAAATATAAAGTGAGCACTGTACATCTTGTATTGTGTGGTAATTGAAATATTTGAAAAAGTAGAAAACATCCAAAAATATTTAAATAAATGATGTTCTATAATTTAGTAGCGCGATTAATCACAATTTTTTAAATTACCTGACAGCCCTAATAACTATACATCTAAATGGAGGTTAAATCATTCAATGCAAGATTAGTGGGACAGATTAGTGCTTGAACCCCAACTAGCTAGGTTTTAACACTATGCTTCTCTAGTAGAGAAGGTAAAGCAGTTGAATGGAGTGGGGCAACAAAGGTCGGTACCATTAGTGTGACAAGAAATAGTGTTAAATGAGACTGCCTACTACAATGGGCAAGATGCACAGAACCTCTAAAAGTAAAGAAAATTCATGAGTTCTCTGAATCTTCTCAAACCTCTCCTGATATTCAAGTTGTAGCTACAGCATAGTTACAATTGAATCTACCATATTGAATCCTCAAGGGCATGGAAGAAAAAAGGAACACCATCATAGATAAGAGATTTAGAATACTTCCCTTGTGGGTTTTTCCCTTTGGGGATGTGTGTGTGGGTATGTGTACTTTGAGAAAGGGACCTTCAGAGACTTGAGGGGGAAGTGTCTTACCACAACCCATTTAGCTACAGAATACCATTTAAATGGAGCTGAGGTAACTTGAGTCTGCATAGCTATTGTTCTCCCTAATGTTCTAAAATCTGAACAGTACAAATATGTAAACAGGTGGTTTTTATGTGGATGGAATTTATGTGCCAATACTCTTCCAAAGTAGTAAGTGCAGTGCTGCGGGGCAACATCAAAAATCCCTCCCGCACTCAGGCTCTACCTTGCCTTGAGAGGCTTGCCAAGAGTAATCCTGCTCTTCATAATTTTGTTAGATGCTCCCCTAGATATCAGATTAGTTCAATCCCTTGTACAGCAAACAGGCCATTACAACAGTTATAAAGCTACAGTAGGATGGACTGCCTTTTTCATCCCCAGCCAACCTGCTTTCAGGGTTCAGGATACCCCTGGATCATAAAATAATTTGACTATTACTATTCACTGTGAGCAAATTTTTAGAATGTGGCCTCCATTTGTGTGTTTAACGTTGCACACACACTTACACATTTAATTTTCATGCACTACCACTGATACCTGTGTGTAGTGTAAGTTTTATTAGCTGTGCATACAGCTGATAATGTACAAAAACAGCAAACTGACATGCAAATAGGAGCCTGGTTGAGCCCTGTTGGAAAGCAGGCCCTACTTTTACAAGTTTTAGATTATTAGCAAAATAAAGGTGCATAGGTCTGTTAGTAAGCTGTGGGGGAAGTGGGGAGAGGAAGGCCATCCAAGCTTGGATAGTTTTCCAACAAACTACTGAGCCTTAAAATAGGAACTTTTGAATTTATTTCCAGACACTGGAAAAAATGTTCAGAAGTGCCTAAGTAACTTGGGCACAGAGCTTAAGTTTCTTTCACTGAGAAATAGGCGCCTCTATGCCCCAGTCAACTAGGCACTTTTGAAAAATTTACCTTATTCTATTGATCACACCAGAGATATGACTAGAGGAGACGGGGGGTAAAGAAGAAATGGGGGGGAGGGGAAGACATCTTTGTTAGGATCTTTTTTGTGTGACAATTATAAAATAGGGGGAACCATCTACCTACTACCATTATGAAAAATGCTTAGTCATGTTTATGCATCTCCCCAGATACATACTGTTTGAGGCAAGGGATTCAAACTCCATGCACAAACATTTGTCATGAGAGGTCACAGCATTAGGCTAGCTGTCCAGTATAAGTAACTTCACTGCAATGTATCCGACAGAATATGATTTGGGGAAGAATTACACTACACCTAAGCATTTTGGCAAGCTAGCATAGGTGTGAAACATAAGAAAAAGAACACTATTCATTTGTCAGATTAGCTTTCTTATAACCCTCTCTCCACTGACTGATCCCCACCCTTCCAAAACTGTTGAGCTCTATCTTACAGTCAGATGCAGAGCTGTGGCTTTTGTGATGAGAGATTAAATATTATTGAAATTTCCAGGGACTGACTTACAGGTGCACATAGTGCTCTCAGCATCTCCTACGCAAGCACCATTAATAAGTCAGATAGGAACCTTACACTAGTACCCAGGGCAGAATCTTTTGTGTATTAGCAATCAACAGAAGAAGTCACTGCAATAGATGTTGTTCATATACTGTGTTTTCAACCATTACCATACTCAATGACTCTCAGCAAATTAAATAAGGATATTTATAGGTCCATTTCTTCCTCATCTCCCCCCACAACATGAAAATGTACAGGCATGCACCTAACAGAATGGACATCAAGCAACAGAACCAGTGTCCTCTACTACAAAGTGAGTACTCTAGCAGAGTTTTTTTATTTTCTTAGTGAAAGGAATTATTTAAATATTTGAACCACTTAATTTCATAAGAGTCAGCAAGTCACACAGAGTCCAAATTCTGGACATTACTATAATGAGGTGGTGATTCTACTACCACAATTTTCTGTTGCCACAAGTGTGACAAAGATAACAGACAACAAGGAACTGATAAAATTTTTTTTATTATTCACTTTTGAATTCTTTTACACTCTCCTGATTATTTTGTGTAAGGTGAAACTAGAACCGTTTAAAAGACATACACAAATCTAGTACATCAATAACCAGGTATTTCTTTTTTGCTATACTATTCTCACAACCACGTGTGTGCTAGCAATATAACCATCACAGAAGCAAACTTTAGGCAGAATACTGGTCAGTAAAAACAAAGCGAAAAGAGCTACCAGATATACAGACAGGCTCGGTTCCACATTCATCACTACTGCATTTATCAAGCGCCAAGTATTAACTGCACTATTTGTTCAGCTAGTAGAGGGGAGTTTTAAAATCAGTGCATGAAATTCTCTCTCCAGCAGACAGATGGACAGACAAACAGATGGATTCTACAGCTAGGTGAAATGGTAGAGGGATGATACGGTGAGACTGATAGATGAAGATTCCTAATCTTTTCCACTGCATTATTCATGCAACTCTTATTAGGTCTTATTTGACTGGACCTGATTGGGAACACAACTAAATGAGGATATTTGGAGTTCTAATATCACAAGTTCCTAACAAGCATTATAAATGTGTAAGGTCTGCATTCCAGTAAGAAATAATGGGAAATCTTGAAAATTTTAGGTAATACCAGGAACTGGCTTAAAGTGGCAGACATTAAGAGCTGAAGACTACAGCAGCACTGACAACTCTCAAACATCTGAGTGAGAGACCTGTCCACTAGCACACATCTCTCTCCATCACCCTGTCACTTATAATCCACAAATAATGGAACACATGTAGGAGTCCAGAAATGTTTTAATGAAGTTTAAAAGCAGGTGAGAGGGTGAGGATGAACATCAACTCAATGGGAGGAAGATTTCTATAAAGTGAATTCAAAGATGGCAGAGTGGAATATTAGAAATTTTTCCAGATCGAGTTTGGAGTGGGAATACCCAAAGAGATTTTAATTCTCCTAAGTGAAATGCAATCTTTGTATTATTTTACTCTTAACAGTATTATCCAAAAACGAATAAGGCCATTCATACAATATTAGTCTTTTCCTGTTGCAAGTTGACAGCAGTGCACTAAGAAATCTCACTACTAAAGAACAGTCCAAGTTGTAACGAAGTAATTTATTGCAGTGGGAAGGGGTTTTAGTCATGCATGTTGTATGAGCACTGGACCATTTTTCAAAGTCAAACCCCAATTACTTGCCAATGTAGTTTGGAAATCAGGCTGCTAACCTCCCAAAAAACTGAACCCTCAGAAAGGTCAGATTACTTAGAATGAGCTTTTGACTGAAAGCGGTGCACCACACTTGGTTAAAAATGTCTATAGAGTGTGCCTGTTAAAGTAATTCACTGAAGTGTGTTACTGAACTGGAATGCCATACAATGGATTGTTTTCCTTCCATGCCCCAGTGTCACAATATAATTTTTATAACTTTCTGTACAACTTTACAACAGAATTGTACTTCGACTATTTTGGTGCCAGATTAAGCTTTCCAGAGTTACATAATTAATGTCTAGTTTCTACCAGGAAGAGTTTTGTAAAGTCAACTGCAATCACAAAACCCATAATCACAGTGCTGAGTTAAAAATATAAACACGGTAATCATAACTGCAAATGTTCATAAGAAGAAAGTTCAGAATGCAGTTGTAGAACCAATCTCCATTTTAAGTACACAAAACACCAACCAATTGTTTTTACCCCACAGACAGTTTTTGCTACGTTGAGGTTGTGAAAGTCGATGTACTATTCTTTTTGCTTGTCGCACAAAGGGATATATGTGTAGGATACAGAGTGACATTGAACATATAGTGAAGCGTGACAGCCATTAGTTCTCTCCCTCCCCAGCATCCCCTTCATCTCCCTGGTTTTCCGAGGTCCATAGCTGTAAGAAAATACAAACACATGTTTATGCTGAAAGCATGCAGTTAATTACGTTTGTCAGGAAAGGGGAGATGGGGTAATTAGCTGTAGGTTGTGCAATTTTCTTAATGGAAGAATATTAAATGGTTGAATTTAGTGGCAAAGAAAGAATAATGAACTAAAAACAGAAGGCTGGATGGAGGCTTAGGAACAGAAAGCAAATGAAGCTTACAGGCAGTACGCACGGGGAGGAAAGTTAGCTTTTGGGAAACTGTCAACAAAAGTGCACCTTTCAATGACAACTGATTGCAGAAAGGCTTACTGACTTGTGCTAGTACAGCAACTGCCATTTTATTTAACATACAAGGGCAACGGCTCTCAGATAGGTCCAATTACAGCCTAACATTTACAACAGTGACAAGTTCAAAGTGTAGTAGTTTGTCCCAATGATACTTACAGTAAGGTTGTCCCTAAGTAGTTGCATGATCAGAGTGCTGTCTTTGTAAGACTCTTCATTCAGTGTGTCCAGCTCAGCTATCGCTTCATCAAACGCCTGAAATAGGCAAGACAGTTTAACAGAACAAAGACACGATTTTCAAATTCTGTGCTCAGATGAATTCAGTTGCATCTACACAATTTTTTTCTTAAAATTTTCCCATAGTATATTTACAATTCAGTGACACCCCTCCCCCCCCCCCAAAAAAAAAACCAACAACAACATCTAACGGAGTATTTTTCCTTTCCCAAAAAAGTACCAGCCATGCTCAACTGCAACGAAGTGAAGACAAGGCCACTGGCCGACTGGAAGAATTCTATTTTGTTACATGAGTTTTAAGATTAATTCTTGGACCAGCCCTACTTCCCAGGCCAGCACTGAATACTCAAGAAGTGAATGTGCTCACTCTCACAGAATGGACTGCTTCACATAGCTCAAAAGCAATCCGGCCACCCAATTAAAAAGCAATATTGTCAGACAAGTTCCTTAGAGCAGGGGACGGCAACCTTTCAGAAGTGGTGTGCTGAGTCTTCATTTATTCACTCTGAGTTAAGGTTTCAGGTGCCAGTAATACATTTTAACTTTTTTAGAAGGTCTCTTTCTATAAGTCTATAATATATAACTAAACTATTGTTGTACGTAAAGTAAATAAGGTTTTTAAAATGTTTAAGAAGCTTCATTTAAAATTAAATTAAAATGCAGAGCCCCCCAGACCGGTGGCCAGGACCTGGTCAATGTGAGTGCACTGAAAATCAGCTCGCGTGCCGCCTTCGGTACGCGTGCCATAGGTTGCCTACCCCTGCCTTAGAGCGTCTTCACTAAAAATGGAGGACTCAAAGGATTGAATTAGAGGTAGTGGGCATGTAGAGATAAAGCTGAAAAACTGGAGGTATCTTCAGGGTCATATCTGCTGCACATAGAAAGGCAACTAAAGAAATAGGAAACAGTGTGACAGTTGAAGAAACAATGTACATTCCACTAAAGACTAATACAGTAATTCCTCCCTTAACATTTTAGTTATGTTCCTGAAAAATGCAACTTTGAGCAAAACGATGTTAAGCGAATCCAATTTCCCCATAAGAATTAATGCAAATAAGGGGTTTAGGTTCCAGGGAAATTTTTTCACCAGACAAAAGACTACATATATCACACATACACACACACACACGTACACACATATACACACACACATGCACACAGTATAAGTTTTAAACAAACAATTTAATACTGGTACACAGCGATGATGATTGTGATGCTTGATTGAGGTGGTGAAGTTAGAGGGTGGAATATTTCCCAGGGAATGCCTTACTGCTAAATGATGAACTAGCAATCGGCTGAGCCCTCAGGGGTTAAGACATTGTTGTTAATGTAGCCTCACACTCTACAAGGCAGCACGAATGAAGGGAGGGAAGACAGCATGGCAGACAGAGTGTGAGTGAGTGAGAGATGTGCATTGCCCCTTTAAGTACGCTGACCCCACTCTAAGAACACTGCCTTTTTAAATAGATCAGCAAGTTGAGACAGCAGCTCCCGCCAGCAAGCTCCGTCTGTCCTTATGTCCCCCCTGCTCTTTGGAAGTGGGGTAAGCGGGGTGCAGGAACAAAGGGAGGGGGACACCCTGACATTAGCCCCCCTCTCTTCCCCACCTCCACCCCCCGCACAGCAAGCAGGAGGTTCTGGAGAGCAGCTCTAAGGCAGAAGGCAGGAGCAGCACATGGCAGTGGGGGAGGGACAGCTGAACTGCAGGCAATTGATAGCCTGCTGGGCAGCTGCTGCACAGGGAACTTAGGGGAACAGGGAGCTGACAGGGGGGCTGCCAGTCCACCCTGGTTCCAAGCCCCCACCAGCTAGCTCCAACGGGCTGCTCTTCCTGCAAGCAGTGGACAAAGCAGGCGGCTGCCAAATGACATATAAGGGAGCACTGCGCAACTTTAAACGAGCATGCTCTCTAATTGATCAGCAACATAACGTTAACCAGGACGACTAAGGGAGGAGTTACTGTATGACCATAGTTGCCACCAACTTGTTTTATAAAATCTTCCATCATAAGTCCATGCAGTATGTTTGGTTGCTGCCATGAATAAGGCCCCCTTTTCTATTTAAATATATTTCTATCACAAACAGCCACATTTCTAAAGCAGATTGATTTACAACCCAATAACTTAAAAGCAGAACTAACAGTAGTAAGTGCATTGCAAGGGAAAAATCTCTTCTTGCTACAAAATACTAGGCCCCTAAACAAAGTGCACTGTACATATATGCTAAGTAACTCTGAATGCCATCATTATCCAAGCTGTTACTTGACAGTTTTCAATTGAAGCAAGTAGAGGTGAACTAATAAAAATACCACATGGAGCTATTCGCCTCTCAGAAAGAGATTCGGTCTAATTTAAAGGAGAGGTAAAAAGAGAAAAAACTAACTCACTTGTGATCTATTTGGGCACAATTAAACCATCAAATAGTTTGCCATGCCAATCAAACCAAAACGGTTCTGGCCTCTGGAGAGAGATTGCGATGTTACGGGTCATGAATGGAGAGCACTGGTAAAGTCACACTGGAGAAACTGCCACATCAAATTTTTGAAATATGCTCAACTAAAGACAGTGTTATTAGTTTCAGTTTTAGGGGCTTCTAGATTAATGCAAACATTTTTAGATTTCCAAAGCAAGTACTTTCTGGGAGAATCCTGTGAAAGTGTGAAGAGGGCAGCTTGTCTTATTCCTCACAGGGTAACTTTCAATAGTCAATTGACTATTATGCTTTTGCTAGCTTATGTGAAAATATATTAAGATACAGATATTCATGTGAAAGGAGGCCAGCACCTCTGAGGCAGGCATCCTCCCGCTGACAGAGTACTCTTGAAGGAGAAGCTAGTTGCTTTTAGAAGAACAGATCACTCAAACCTACCTTCAGAGGTACTACTGTACATCTTTAATAGTTTTTGCCTTCAATAGTTTCCTCCCCCCCGACAAAAATATTGATAAGAGGAGTCTGCTTACCGTCTTTGCCAGACTACAGGCTTTTTCAGGGGAATTTAATATCTCATAGTAAAAGACAGAGAAATTGAGAGCCAGACCAAGCCGAATGGGGTGTGTAGGTTGCATCTCTTTCTTGCTAATTTCAAATGCCTCCTGGTAAGCCTGCTGAGAGTTTGATACTGTTGCTGCAAAAAGTGATTTCAGTAAGATTAATGCATGGTAAGTCACTGTGTATTTAAGACAAGGATTATTTAACACCACCTTAGTCTGGGCAATTTAGAAACTTTGGACATCAGGTAACAATTCCAATTAGAAGGTTAATAAATATCCACATGTAAAAAACAAGCACAGAGGTATTTCCTTCAATAATTTTAATGGTAAAACTCTACTGATAAAACTAAGCTACTAATGCAGGAGTGCTCATAAGATTTAAAATGCAACAATTCATACCAAGATTAAAAAAAACATCAGACATAGTTGTGGTTAGTACTGTTGAACTCCAACTGCATTGTGTTTAAAAGCTAGAAGCCTACGGAGGAACAGGAAATAGTTCTGGAAGGTAAACGCTGAAGAAAACTAATGAGCCATTCCCTAATGCTTCTGAGAAGGAAGCGTCCAAGAGGCAACCTCTTGTCCTGAACTCCATGGGTTAAAAATTGGGAGCACAGAGGAACTATGAGTCCCCTTCCCCAGGCTGATGGGCAGCACAACAAGCTCTAGAGGGACTGTCTAAGCCAGAGGTGGGCAAACTACGGCCCGTGGGCCACATCTGGGTGGGGAAATTGCATGAAGGGCCATGAATGCAAGGCTGAGGCATGGGGTTGGGGTACGGGAGGGAGTGTGGGGTGTGGGAAGGGGTGCAGTTTGCACCCCTGTGGGATTGCCAGCCCCGTGGCACAGTGAGGCTAAGGCATGCTCCCTGCCTGCCCTGGTCTCGCGCTGCTCCCGGAAGCTCTGCCTGCTGCCCTCGCTTGCAGGCACCGCCCATCGCAGCTCCCATTGGCCGGGAACAGGGAACCACGGCCAATGGGAGCTTCAGGGGAGGTACTCGCAGGCGAGGGCAGCGCGTGGAGCCCTCTGCCCCACCTCCCCCAGGGGCTGCAGGGACATGGTGCTGGCCGCTTCCGGGAGAGGTGCGGGGCCAGGGCAGGCAGGCAGCCTGCCTGCCTTAGCCTCACTGCGTGCCGCTGCCACACCGAAGCCACTCAAGGTAAGCGGCGCCAGGTCGGAGCCTGCACCCTCCTGCACCCAGCACTCCAACCCCCTGCCCTGAGCCCCCTCCCGCACTCCGCACCCCCCCTACACCCCAACCCCCTGCCCTGAGACCCCTCCCGCACCCCCTCCTGCACCTCAACACCCTTCACTGAGCCGCCTCCTGCACACCGCACCCCTTCCCACACCCCAACCCCATGCCTCAGCCTTACATTCATGGCCCTTCATGCAATTTCCCCACCCAGATGTGGCCCACGGGCCAAAAACTTTGCCCACCTCTGGTCTAAGCCCTATGATCCTGCTCCATGAACTGCACTGACTGCCCACTGGCTTCCAGGCAGAGTTCAAGGTGTTAGTTTTAACCTAGAGAACTCTATTTGGTTTAGGACCTGGTTACTTGAGAGTCCACCTATCAAAATGTGATACCACACTTGCAACCAGTGAAGTTACTTCAGCTAGATCCCCTGATATAATTAGGAGGGTACTACCAGCAGGGCATTTTCCAGGAGGAAATAATGCATTCCTCCTCTCAGGCTACCAGATCCTGGATTTGCTGAACTTTCAAAACAGGTGGCAAAACCTTTTCAGGGATGGGAGACATTTGGGAACAGAGTAGGCTGAGGGATGGCAGTGTGTTTGGCTTGATGTTAATTACAGAGGCTCACGTATAATGTTTTTTTGGGGGGAAGGGGGACGGTTTGGTCAGAGCTATGACGCTGGCAGACCACGTGCCAGCTCATGCCAAAGCCCCAGGCCTATTCACTTGTGTATTAGCATAGATCAAAGTGATTGTTAAATGTATAAGAGTATATTTGATGTTTAAACATCATGAAAACTAACTGGATGTTACTTGCATTGTTTTCACTTATCTGTATCCTGTTATAACATAGTAGCAACATTTACATTGTGTATACCCTTGCAACTAAATAACCCATCAAATGAGAAAGAAGCCTTATAGAATGCAAATGAACTCTAACAGAAAAAAGTTAATTTCAAAGCAAGTGCTCATTGTGCGAGATGATGAGAGGTCAAAGACTCAAAATGCATTCCTCACTCTGTCATCAAAGTAAAAAACATGTGGGTAGTGACACTGTCAGCTTGTTTCCTGTGAGAAGAAGCTATAAGTATGGATTCAAGGAAAGATCCTGCACCTTTGGTCTGCTGGGACTAGTACAGGGAAGTGTACTAGATGCAAAGCAGAGACCCCCAGAGACAACCTGGGTATCCTGAAAAGACTTTCTGGAAACTGGCAGTTTATTACATCACTGCCACCATTTGGAATTACAAACTGTGACTAACCTGTGCATATATTTTACCTGTTTTAACCTCTCAATAACACATTTCCTTTTCTTAGCTAATAAACCTTTAGTTAGTTTACTATATAACTGGCTACCAGCATTGTCTTTGGTGTAAGATCTAGAGTACCAACTGATCGGGGGGAAGTGACCTGTCTCTCAGGCCTGAGAGCAACCTTATGTGGTGTGATTTTTGGTTTAAGAGACCTTTTCTCACAAAGTCCAGTTTGTCTGGGTGGTAAGATAGACTGGAGAGTCTAAAGGGAGTATCTGTGACTCCGTGGTAAGACCTTTATAGTGATCCAGGAGTTCACATATGTCACTGGCTTGGTGAAATCTAATTATAGAACACACCACCAGCTTGAGGTGTCTGCCCTGTTTTTTGACAGTCTGCCCTGAGGAAGGCACTCCAGACAGTGTGACAAGAGCAAGTAGCACAATGCTTGTTTTCAATAGTTAGTGAATGTTGAAATCTATATAAATACGCCTCACTGAAAACAGAAACATTTCTCTTCATACTTCATTCTGTTTAGTGGCCATTTGACTTCTGATCGGGGTGTGTGTGTGTGTAAAGATTTTAACTCTACCTACTTTGTTTGCTGTCCCCAGATGCCACCTCTGAAAGATATCTGAAGTAATCGCCTTTCATTTTCAAATAGAAGACCTTGCTTTCTGGCTGTGTGGCATTGACAATAAGGTACTTATCCAAGAGTTCCTGAAAGAGGAAGCATCACAGAATTACACAAATGCTTTTGTCATGAAAGCCACAGGAGTGATAAACAAAGCTTTAACCACCATTGTAAGTATTAGCATTTAACATGCTAATGCAACTTCTAAGTGTACACACATGAAGTTTATTACCCACTACAAAAGCTTGGAGAAAAATCCACTGGGGAGCAGGAAACTTTCCCGGTTGAGGACCTATACCATTCATTTCTGCAAAATTTCAGCTCTCAAAAAGTTGATAGCCCTCCTGATTGCGAGGACAGCCTTTCATATGCGAACTGACGCAGTGCTGTGTTCATGAGTCCGCAGGTACAGCGCTCCAGGGCCTCCACTGCTATTCATAATTTTGCTGCTGTTTGGCAGAGTGAGATTCACAAGAGTCTGATTACTTTCACTGCTGCTGTTTAGAACCATGGACAGCAATGAAGTGGTCTAAAGCTATGAGTAGCAATGGAGGCTGCACTTGCGTATTCAGAGGAAGAGGAATCAAAAATGGTTGCGAGAGGAGTACCAGGAACTCTCTCCTCTTCACATGCAATAGGGTCTTGACTAGGCAACCACAAAATAGCAGAATCCCTCCACCCCTAACTTCAAAGAAGCCAGGAAACTGGTGTGGGTGAAAACGCTAGCTCCTCTCCTGTCCACAAAAGAATATGGGTAGAGGCTTCAAATTTCAGGTGATTAAAATACATAGGAGCATCTATCACCCACTCCCCCTCACCCCCACCACCGAACAGGAACAGCACCCTAAGAATCCGAGCACTTGAGTGTAAGTGATGGGCTTCTTGCCAGGGCAGTTGGCCACAGATCCTTCTGGTGTCTTACCCCTCTCCCCCAATCATTTTCCATATTCATCTCTGCCTAACAGGTTTTGTGCCTTTGGCTAGTAGATTTTTTTTGTTTTGTTTTTATATTTGGTAGGTGATAACACTAAGAGAAACTGAATATAGTTACATGAAAGAAACTAGAATACTCAATTACTACACCCAGCCAAGTTCTTTACCCAGAGCCATAAGAAATTATCTTCCTGCCTGGATCTTTAGCATCTCAGTAAGTGAGGCTCCTTAAGCCTCCCCGGAAATTGCTGCAATGCTAACGACTGTTATTTTTGCTGCTGGATTATTACCAGAACATCATTGCAGATATCCTGCAATTCAGCCTCAATTTTCTCACGATACTCTCTTCCCATCTGCTGTTTCTTCTCATTCCTCTCTGTTTTCTGTTCAATGCTGGAAATTACACGCCAGGAAGAGCGACGGGCACCAACCACATTCTTATAGGCAACAGAGAGTAGATTCCTTTCTTCATTGGACAGTTCATGTCCTTGCTCAGTGACAGCCTTCATAGCAGCAGCCATGTCATCATAGCGCTCAGCCTGTTCGGCCAGTTTGGCTTTCTGTACCAGCTCGCTTTTATCCATAGTTATTCCTTAAAAGGAGAAAAAATAATTTATCTTGATTGCACAGGTTGTGGAAAACGAATGATAAAGGTAAAAAGGGATGCGGTATAAGTCATGATCATTAATAAGTGGGAAGTCTGTCTTCTTCCTGAAGAATGTAGTGAGTTACTAGCAGGAGTTTAACTTTGTATTTTGGTTATTTCAGTAAGAGCAGCATAGAATCATAGGACTGGAAGAGACCTCGAGAGGTCATCTAGTCCAGTCCCCTGCACTAGACCATCCCTGACAGGTGTTTGTTCAACCTGTTCTTAAAAATCTCCAATAATGGAGATTCCACAACCCCCCTAGGCAATTTATTCAAGTGCTTAACCACCCTGACCGTTAGGAAGTTTTTCTTAATGTCCAACCTAAACCTCTCTTGCTGCAATTTAAGCCTGTTGCTTCTTGTCCTGTCCTCAGAGATTAAGAACAATTTTTCTTCCAACTCCTTGTAACAACCTTTTATGTACATGAAAGCTTATCATGTCCCCTCTCAATCTTCTCTTCTCCAGACTAAACAAACCCAATTTTTTCAATCTTCCCTCACAGGTCATGATTTCTAGACCTTTCATCATTTTTGTTGCTCTTCTCTGGACTTTCTCCAATTTGTCCACATCTTTCCTGAAATTTGGCACCCAGAACTGGACACAATACTCCAGCTGAGGCCTAATCAGCATCTTCTGTAACATTTAAGAATCACAACCAATCACACTCCTGGAAGAACGTGAACACTACCTTTTCAAATGTGACATTAATATTGATGTTATGTCCAATCATATCAGTCTCCTTCCTCCCTCCCCCCCGACAGACTTCTCCAATCCTATCATGATACCATGTCCCCAATCTAACAATACCAGAAGTCTGAGAGGAAAGGCCGCATGTTCAAACACTTGCCAAAAAAGAAAACCAGAACTTTTTCATGTTATGGGATCTTCTAGTACTCTTCCATGACAGGAATAATGTTCTTAGAGCAGGAGTATCTGAAACACTGGACAGCTCCTGCTGTCATTGAACAGCCCTCTTTTACTTTGATGTAAAATGCAATGCTTTTGTGGATACTTAAAACAGCAAAATAAAGCTGTAGTGTTTGGTACCAGAGAAAATGTTTTTATACTGCCCTGCCAGGAATATTATTTCTTATATCTGTGTTTCTCTACACGAGATTTTTGAGACAATCAACGCTGCTATCCTGCAGCATTTTCAGTGTCAACCATATTTTAATACAGAGATTGAGGGAGAAAGGATGTGGCCCACATGACAGTCATGCAATTGTAAAGTAATTGCTTACATGGAAATTCATCTTTTTTGAAATGCAATTTAGCAGCTGGAAATAAGGTCAGACATATGCTATGTGACCAGCCAACTCTCCACTGAGCACAGTTTAAGAACTTCTGCCTTAGGACAATGGATGCTGAAGTTAGTAAGGAAAATGGCTTTTCCTATGTTCTGTGTGTCTGCCAGGCACAATGGTAACATGTATACAACTAAGTCTGAACAAAGGACTTGTGTGGTATATGCACGGTCACCTTATGGATGTGCCTGTTCTGTGAGCCAGTGGATCAATACAGATTTTTTGCTGAAAGAAGCCAGTGGAGTCCTCTTGACACACAGTTCTGCATTAAGTCTAGTTCTCTTTCAAAAACAGCTTTTAAACCAGTGGAATCTGGCACTTTATAAAGGTGCCAAATTGATGATATTAAGATTGCTGCTCTCCCCAAAGACAAAAATAGGTACCAACAGTGAGTTAACTTACTTTACTTCACTAACATGGCTCTATCTTTACCAGGAAGGATCTACTCTAGGGAGACATAGTAGTTTGTATCACTGGCTACTGCGGACTCCAAGTCAACTCATCACTGATCCCGCCGAGGAACCACCAGGTTTTGATTTGTGTCCGAAAGACTGATGCAGATTGAATCACATCAGGACAACTCATGGGATATGTGGACAAACCCTCCTTAAATGGAAAATGAGGCAAACACCTGTATGTAACTGTGGTCACCAGGCACAAATGATGGAGCACATCGTATCTGAGAGCCCCCTTCGTTCTTTTGCCAAGGGCCTACAGCAATGTGCTGGCTGTCAAACTTAGATATAAATTTGTAGTCATGCTACCTACCCAAGCCATCCAAAAGAAGATGACTCCAAGTAAGGGTGCCAAGTGGGAGAGAGGTTTTCTTTGTAATGCACACACACAGGCTACATTTACACTACAAGCTAGAGGTGTGATTTCCCTGCTCACATACACATAGAACCATAGAATATCAGGGTTGGAAGGAATCTCAGGAGGTCATCTAGTCCAATCCCCTGCTCAAAGCACGACCAATCCCCAGACAGATTTTTACCCCCGTTCCCTAAATGGCCCCCTCAAGGATTGAACTCACAACCCTGGGTTTAGCAGGCCACATGCTTGCGCTAGCTCTCATTGAGCTAGCATGAATATAGATAGCAGCGGATATCTGGATAATGATGATAATAATCTGAATAGGATAATGGCAGTGGAGGCATAGCTTAGCCATGATGAGTATATACCCATGAGGTTCAGGTGGGTTTGTACTCAAAACAGCTAAGCCATGCCTCCACTGCCACTAACACTACCGCAGCTCCGCTGCTATTAATATTTGCACTAGCTCAGTGGTTCTCAAACTTTTGTACTGGTGACCCCTTTCACATAGCAAGCCTCTGAGTGCGACCCCCCTTATAAATTAAAAACACGTTTTTATATATTTAACACTATTATAAATGCTTGAGACAAAGCGGTGTTTGGGGTGGAGGCTGACAGCTCACGACCCCCCATGTAATAGCCTCGTGACCCCCTGAGGGGTCCTGACCCCCAGTTTGAGAACCCCTGCACTAGCTTGACAAGGACTAGCACAAGTACGTATATGTGAGCAGGGGAAATCATACCCTTAAGTGCACAGTGTAGACATAGCCTTAATAAATATACTGCCTAGTAAAAATGTAAGTTGAAAAGACAGATCAGTCAAATAGCAACATTTTTTGGTCATTACGACCAGCATGAACCAGTTCATCTGAACTAATGATGTAGAGATGCAGTGCTCTGTATTCCAAGGCAACAATATTCCACCACCTTCTTGCCACATCCCAAATTGCTAGACTTCTAATTATGAAATGAATTCAATTTACATGCTTAACACAGTAACTAGTTCACAGCTGGGGACCCCCAAACTTTCACTGTTAATTTGAAGATCAAAGTATGTCTACATAAACAGTGTTTTATAGTGTATGAAAGCCAGCCATAAATACTAAACTATCTCACACAACTGTATGACTCCAATTTCCTCAACCTGCACTGCCTCTTGAGACATTTCCATTGTAGTCAGCTCTAGGTTTACCACAAGCAGTTTACACAATACCATTACCATATGATTTGGATTTTTGTTTTGAAAAGTAGTCTGCATGCTGAAATTTAGAGACAAGTATTCTAAGGCAGTTTGCATTTTGTCATTAAAAAAGTGTGTGTTATATTTTGTCTGTACTTTTCCAGCAGCACAGCACAAGTAGTGCTATGGATCGCAAAACAAATTACCTGTGCAGAGTTCAGTTTAGGAACTGTGGAGAGTTTATTAACATGATGCTAATATGATATATTTATCTTTAAATGCAAGTCCCTTCATGGCAGTCAGTGGCTTCACTTAAGGGCACATAAGGAAAACCACAGAGGGAATAGGGAAGGCATAGAAAGTACAGAAGAAAGTCTGACAAAATTGACTGTTCAGCCCAAACACTAGTACAAGACATACAAAACATGTTATCTATCCTTAGTTATTTGACTGTCTAAATCAGAGGTGGGCAAACTATGGCCCACGGCCCATCAGGGCTTTGGATCCAGCCCGTGGGACTGCCACCCCCATGGCACTGCGGGCACCGCACCACTCCTGGAAGCGGCCGGCACCACGTCTCTGCGGCCCCTGGGGGCGGGGAGGGGGGAGGAGATAGAGGGCTCCGGACACAGCAGTCGCTTGCAGGTACCGCCCCCAGCAGCACCCATTGGCCGGGAACGGGGAACCGTGACCAACGGGAGCTTCAGGGGAGGTACCCGCAGGCAAGGGCAGCGTGCGGAGCCCTCTGCCCTCCCTCCCCCAGGGGCCGCAGGGACGTGGTGCCAGAGCGGCGCAGGGCCAGGGCAGGCAGGGAGCTGGCCTTAGCCCCGCTGCGCACCACTGCCACCCCAGAGCCGCTCCAGGTAAGCAGTGCCTTGCCGGAGCCAGAACCCCTCCTGCACTCCACACCCTAGCCCCCTGCCTTGAGCCCCCTCCCTCACTCCGCACCCCTCCCTGCCCTGAACCTCCTGCCGCACCCCTCCCTGCACCCCAACCCCCTGGCCTGAGCCCCCTCCCGTACTCCGCACCCCAACCCCCTGCCCCAACCCTACATTCATGGCCCTGCAAGCAATTTCCCCACCCAGATGTGGCCCTCGGGCCAAAAAGTTTGCCCACCCCGGTCTAAATTATGTGTACATCTTAAAGACAGCTCATACTACTTACTCAAAAAGTTTGACTTACTCAATAAGAACTTCATTAATTGTGTATATTTGTACCAGAGTTTGAGATGCCAGTGTTGGAGCCTCAATTTAGGCGTTGATTTGACTATTTTAACTTGTACTAGAATCTTTCCTTGTTAGTAGGTTTGCTACAAAAGTATGAAGTGCTGTTCAATAAAACAAATTTAACATAAGAATTCAAATACCACAGTGTTTTCTTCCAGTAAGAAAGGCATTGCCCCACACCAAAATGTGGATAATCTGGCAGTACACACCTACCATCACTCTCACTCAAGGATTTGCTGTATAAAGGAACACTGTTAGAGTCTGGATTCTCCATTGCTTACCTTGTTAGAAGCTTGGAGAAGGGCTTTGCAGAGCTATGATGGCTTGAGCTCCATAAGAAGGAAGTGTTTGCCAGAAGGAAAAAAAGACACAAGGAAAGGAGTGATGTTTGAAAAAAAACAAAAAAGCCACTATCAGTTATAGCTGGTCCCTCCCATAAAGGAGCTGAAAGCTACGTCCTTCCTAACAATATATTAGTGTGCCACAGCCTGGAACAAGCATCTCTGCGATGCCTGGGCTGGACATGTTCGTAGGCCACAAGTGGAAGTTACCAGTGGCCATTACCTGCAACTAAGAGCAGTACATTCAATGACATCTGTAGTGAGAGACTGACAGGAATTGTCTAATGTAGCACGGATACTTTATTGGGGGGGAAGGGTGCTGTTGCAAGTCACAGCCATGGGGAAGAGTTCTGAGAACAGGGCTTGTTAGTTCTAAGTAGAAGGTGAGAGACATTAGTGGCAGATTTAAGAGCCTGCCAAACAAGGGCTTAGAACCCCTCCAAAAGGTTATGATTGCACACTATCTCTGATCAAGAACGCCAGCAACCAGCGTTCAAAGCCAGTAGGCACTCAGATACTAGAACTTTGAATCTAACACTCCTATGTATTAGCCACTGAAGCCATCATCCTACTTCCCATTCCTGCGAGCTGAGAAAATATCTAGGTCCTGTCTAGCCTAGGTTCTAACACCACAACCAGCTCAAGTGATCTTAAAGGTACTGAACTGTGTCTACAAGGGAATTAAAAGGTTTCAACTGAGTTTGCTTGCTCATGTAGACATGGCCCGGATTGGACTTCTTATTAATAACTGTACTGCCAGAGGTAGATATCTGTAAAAGACACTAGTTCAGGGGTCGGCAACCTATGGCACATGTGCCAAAGGCGACACATGAGCTGATTTACTGTGGCACGCTGCTGCCCGCCTGGGGTCCCCACCGCCGGCCCCACTTAGCCTGCTGTCGGCCTGGATGGACGGAACCCCAGGCCACTGGCCTGCTCAGCCCGCTGCCAGTCTGGGGTTCCATCCGCCGGCCCCTGTAAATGTAAAATGTATTACTGACACACGAAACCTTAAATTACAGCGAATAAATGAAGACTTGGCACACCACTTCTGAAAGGTTGCCAACCCCTCCAGTAGTTTATAGCTGTCCCTGGCTCCTTTGGGTGAGAGGGGAAGTAAGGAGCGGGAGAAAGGCAGTCATTTTAGAAAGGACACCCAAGGTCAAAGTAAACCCACAGGACTTGCGAGCAAAGACAAAGGTGGTGAATTTGGGATTTATGTAAATTTTAGTGACAATTTAGACACTCAACATTCCCCACCAGATTACAAACGCTCTATGATAAATCATATTTTAGGCCCAAGCTACCTGACAGCGATCATGCCTGCTTTTATAGGCTTTACTGCTTCCAACCTTCAAGAGCTATGCAAGATCAACAGTCAAATCAGATCAGATGTAACTGCATTTAAACACTGTAGAAAACAGATGAAAAACTGGCACTGAAAAATATCTGATTTACATAATATATTGAACTGGCAAAGCAGTACTAATAAGCCTTCATTGTCCTGAAGTTTGCTTTCAATGACCTGTTCTTTTGATGCTAAATAGGTAATTGATCCTTTTTTATAGTTTTAATGCTTGTTATGTAGAAATAATTAGACAAATATTTCTCCATTAGAAAAGATTTGGGAAAGAAAGGAGTGCAATTATTGGTTTGCCATATACATCAATAAGGAGTCAGGCAGAAAAGTGCGTTAATACACTAACCTTTCACTTTTGGAGAAGTTAGTTTAAATCTAGATTTGGTCACAAGGGATAAGTTTGGTAGTTTCAGACTCATATGCATTTATTCCCATCACAAAACTGCTATAAAATTTAGTACTGGAAGAGCAGAAGAATAGTATTGGAGATATTTGCAGATTTGCTTACCAAAAGTGAACAGTATCTCAACATATCTTATTTGGTTTTAGCTAGTGACATTAATGCGGCAATTCACACCAAAATGAAAAATCCATGTCAATTACATAGCATCCCACACTTCAGTTCCATAAGTTTGGAGCCTACATGGGTATTCAAAAGGAGACAATTGCCTCCAAAACAAAGGGAAAGGCTTCCTTCATAATGCAGTCATGTGCATGCTAATGCAAGAACTACAGTATTGACAAGAGACAGTTTGGATGATGCAGAAGATATCCACCATGCAGCTCACACAGCAGGCACTACTGCTGATGGGTACTCTTTAAATCAGTGCATTCCTCAGCTCCCTACAAATTAAATACAAGAAGCCTGTTTGCCTTTTAATACCTTTTATTTTTTTCACTTAGCTAAAGTTGTGTTCTTTATCTTGACCTAGGGATTTAGGAGTGGTGAGGAAGAACACTGGAAACTAAATATAGATTACTCACTGACATCAGCATTTCTCATTAATTTCCTTTCCACAAAGAAAAAAATCCATTCATCACTCCAAGCTAATGGAAATAAAGTGCTCCCCGCCTGGTAGTATGTATTATTAAAAAGTGACATATCAGGAAATTGTACATTCCCAGTAAGATTTTACCCAAACACAGAAAGCTAGGTTTCTCCTTGATCACCATCAGGTTGACCAGTAAGATTAGTAAAATGCACTTTCCATATTCTATGGCTTTAAACAGGTAGTATAATACATGGAATATCCTCTCTGACCTTATGTCATGCAGCCTCACTCTCTTCCAAAACCTTCAACAAAACTCATTTCTTTCAGCTAGCTTTCCAATGTGCCCACCACCTAGGGTGACCAGATAGGAAGTGTGAAAAATCAGGATGGGGGTGGTGGGTAATAGGTGCCTATATAAGACAAAGCCCCAAATGTCAGGTCTGTCCCTATAAAATTGGGACATCTGGTCACCCTTCTGTCACCCCAAACACTGCCCCAAATCTTCATTAAAACTTTGGGAGAAAAAAATGACAATAAGCCAGCCTTATGATCTCTTTCTGCACAATCACCTTCCTATATATACACAACCCTTTTCCGACATCTTTTTGTCACCCCTTGCTATGTTATTTACTTAGAGCTTGTCCTCACAGAGAAGTTACAGTGAAATAAGTTAAGTTGTGAATTTAGAATCATAGAATATCAGGGTTGGACGGGACCTCAGGAGGTCATCTAGTCCAACCCCCTGTTCAAAGCAGGTCCAATCCCCAGACAGATTTTTGCCCCAGATCCCTAAATGGCCCCCTCAAGGATTGAACTCACAACCCTGGGTTTAGCAGGCCAATGTTCAAACCACTGAGCTATCCCTCCCCCCCTAAAAAATTGAAAGCCCAATAGCTATTCCACTCCAGCTCTGCACTTTAGGGTACCTTTACACAGCAGTCGGGAGGTGTGACTGCAGCAAGCATAGGCATTCCCAAACTAGCTTTGATCTAGCTAGCTAGCTAGCTAAAAATAGCATCAAAGCCATGGCAGCACAAGCACAGGCTAGCCATTGAGTGCAAGCCCTCTGAGACACTAGCTATATATTCGGGTGACAAGCCCATGCCACTGCAGTTTTACTGCTATTTTTAGTGGACTAGCTAGAGCCAGGTATGGCTATAGTCACATCTCCCAATTGCTGTAGAGATATACCCTAAAAGTGTGTCTTTTTGCAGTTTAGTTTAATCCACTTCTAAAGTTGATTAAACTAAACTGGACAAAGGCACCCCTACTGCAGAATAAGAGTGTCCATATGTGGAGCTAATGCAGAATAGGTATTGTACATTAGCTATTCCAGGCTATTTCCCCATGTAGACAAGTCCTTAGATTGGAAACTCCTTGGAGCAGGGACCTGTCATTCTGTCCAAACTATTATGCACATCTATAGTGCTGTACAAATAAAGGACAGTTACAAGTGGAAACAGGAATGTATATAATGTATTTAATCTCGTTAGATTTTTGTTCCAACTACTATAATCATTTTTGGCTAGGGTCCAGATGAAAGTAGTGAGTTTCCCAAAAAACCTCTTCCCTCAGGTGTAAAATTCATGCCAAAATAAATGCATTCATATTACAGCAAATCACCTTCACTTATATTAAAGTGAAAGTATTTCTATTACAGGATGGGATACGGCTGAGGCAAAATAAAAAGCCATACCACTACAATGTTTTAGTTTTAATGTAATGTGTATCGGGGTGCTAGCCTTCTTTCTCAAGAACATAGTTCTAAACCTTATTTATGTGACAGTTGTGCCATCCAACTCAGTCTCATCCTAGTCTGTGCACATAACAAAAATCACACACTTAGTCTGCTCTGCTTAAAGGATAGTGAGAACCAGAATAGCAATGATATTGCAAGTCAGAAGATGGTGCACTGACAAAACTGAGCATGCAAGTCTGCACTGGACCCCATCTGCTTTAATGGTGTTTCACTTTGTCCATATCAAATTAACTCAAAATCTAAATATAGTTACATGGCCAGGACACTTCACTTGCAATCAGCTATTTACTAGTTGCCCACCACTTTGGGATCTAAGACCCAAAAATAAATAGAGTTTTCCCCTCTGGAATACAGGGGGGAGAGTTAATTTATACCTTCAAGGTTTTTTTTTTTTTTTTTTTTAAATGGACTCTGTTCTGGGGAACTATAAAAAAAGATACATCCCCCTGAATAAAACGCACTGAGACAGTTCGTGAGATTTCTGATTTAGGTAACCTAACCACTCCTAAAGCTATAAAAGTTTTACAGCCTTATAAATGTTTTCAAGCTACTAATGTTACATGTACAGTATAATTTAGCTTTTAAAGTATTATATATCATTCAATTTGCTTCCTTGTTAGGAACAGTTACTATAATGTCAAAAAGACCAAATGAAATAAATTACTACAGTTTAGTTGGAATCTTCCCTCAGTGACAATGTCTGCATGGCACGGATACTTGCACTATACAAGATAACGTCTGTGGATTATAACCTCATCAGGGCAGTTTATGGGTTTTTCTAAGAAGTCTTACAAGTTGTGCCTGATGCCTGAAACAGTATTCTTTCCCCGAGTGCCTGCCTACATTTATTTCTGCTTTGTGCCACAGCAGAGGCTAGTAATAAATAATATACCACCTTTATTATTTGTATTACTATAGTCATGGACCAGGACCCCATTGTGGTAGGCATTGTATCTGTGCTCCTACACCCGCATATTATTTTATAAAGATGTCAGGGCTGCACCCTTATCTCCTCCCTATTTGTTTGAAACAACACCATAAGTACCTATGTGAAAAGGGTGCTACGAAGTGCCATGGAAATTATTTCCATCTCCTGAACACAGCAAGAGATTTTTATTTAAGGTAGGCAATGCCTGCAGCATAGGAATCTGATTAGTGTGGAGCAGCATGGGGGGGGGGGGGGGGCAACGCAGGCAGTTGGGCATCCTGGCCCACGAGAGAGATCGCAGGGAGCCTTTGGAAGGAGAGGTCTAGAATCAGACTGACCCTGGAAGGGGGAGGCTCATTTCCCAGCCGGTAGGAGCCGAAGGGCCTTTGTCAATCACAGCCAAGGGAACAGCCCCTTCCAGCGACGCCTGCTGCACACAGGTGTGCGAGGCCAGCCTAGCCCTCGGGGGAGAAGGTGACTCAGCCTGCGTGGGGCTGGGCTGAGAGCGCCTAGAAAAGGCGGTGCTGCCAGTTCAGGCCCTGCAGCAGCCTGGGGGAGGGGAGTGGGTCACACCGTTACCTGGGCGGCTCCACTTCCCCGCCCGGCTCCCCGGAGAGACACGAGCCATTGCAGCCGGGGGGAGGCGCCCCATAGCGCGCCCTCGGCAGCTCCGCGGCCTGCGAAGGCCTCTGCCCGCCGCGTGCCCCTCCCACCCCGGGCCCTGCCACCCCGAGAGAGGGAGGAGCTGGGCCGGCCGAGGCTGGGGGACCTGCCCCCTCCTACTTCCGCGAGCCCTTGGGCCTGTCGGGCCGCGCAGCACCCCCTCCCCCGCGGGGAGGAGGGAAGGGGCGAGGCCCCGAGGCCTCTTCGCGGC